AAACACAGGAACAACCTTCTTTTTTCCTTTCGTCTATGATCGTTGGTGTTCTCGGTTCGAGTTGAGTGTGCCGATATGCAATTTATCTGTATGTCTGTGGTTTTCGTTTTCTTTGGTCTTGGAATGGGAGACCAATATGATTTGTCTTCGGTGTGCTTTCCCACCAGTTGTTGACGCGCGCGCGCCTTATCGGTGCGTCACTCTCTGCGAAAATTTTGCTCTGCGCGTGCGCGACTGTCCGTGAAGCTGCGCGACGGATATTTTTTTGAATGAGAGGAGAGTATGAGGAGCACAACGCATGCGAGGCATCGCTGTAGCAAGAGATCATCAGCTTGGTATGTGTTTGTTGAGATTGAGTTTGAGGTTGCTCGATACATCACATCACATGATCGCGGTCTCTCATTTTTCACCGAACAAACGAAATTTATTTTTGATCTTCCGCGCGCGCTCAAGCTGGTTGCCGCCCGCAGAAGTGGTGACAGGGACAAGGAAAAGTGAGACTAACGTCTTGCTGTGCGCCAGCGTCTCTCGTGCTATCGAATCTAAGTACGCGGTAGTGAAAAGAAGCGGAACATCATGGTTTCAAACGTTAAGAAGCCCGCAATGGTGGCGGCTTTCCTCTTCCTGCTGGCTGGGTGGCTTGCAGCCCCTTACGTCGTGTTCGCCCTGGTACAAGAACAGAACCTGCGGGGCACTAACGACCTAGTTGTCCAAGAACAGAACTTGCGTGAGCGGGATGGTGCAGCTGTGGCCCCGCCCACTGGCCCGGTGAAGGAATTCATCATGACGGACGAGGAAGCGGCTGCGTTCCAGAAAATGTATGAAGTGAAAGTGGGTACTTACTTCTACCATTGTTTATAGTTTTTTTTATTCATTGTACTATGGATCTCCCCTGGAGTTGAAGTCGTTACGTGAAGGGCAAGAGTCTTTTTTCGTAAACGATTGTCCATTTTCGTCCCCGCTTCGGTGTTGGGCATTTATTTCATAAAAACGAAGACAAAACTACATATCTGATCTCGCACAGGTTTGCAGCGCCGTGGGTTCAACAGTACCGAAGTGGACGTGATGCAGAAGATTGTGGAGCTGACCGGCGGAGATGTCGCGTACGCGAAGCAACTGTACGAAGAGGGACACGTCCACGCCGTCATCAGCCTGGACTGGAACAAGGACGACACACTAGACCGCGGTGAATGTCCCTGCCTGAAGGACATTTCGGGTGGTCGCGACTCCATGGCGCTCGGCGACTTTTTGTTCGCGGTGGTGGTGATGCCGGAGGGCAGTAGTTCGATGAACACGTTTCTCGAGGTCACTCCTATTGGCGGGTACGACGAGGAGGCTCTCGAGAAGGTGCCGACGTACACGGTAACCGGAACGCGCGAAAGTGCGTACGTCAAGCCGACCAGCTCGGACATGGCCTGGGAAAGACAACAGGCCAGGGCGCAGTGGGCCATTGAAAACCCGGTCAGCAAAGAGGAAAAGCCAGCAGCGAGGAGGACGGCCAGAAAATATCCCACACGAAAAGACGTCCTCCAAGCGCTCGACAGGCCGGACGAGATGCAGAGGGTCAAGGAGGTGCGGGTCGAGATGCAGCCGCTCGAGATGCAGCCGGTGGACGAGATGGATGTAGCTGCCGGCCGAACGTCATGGGCGGGCCGTTTATTCAGGAGGTGTTTCTGCAGGGGCAGGCGCGGCGCCCGCGAGGTGGCGACTCCACTACTCGGGAGGTAAGAAACTTCGCTTTGTTACAACGTCAACATCACCGAAAGTGCGGTCCTCGTAGAAGCAACAACTTGTTATGTACTCCCTTACCACGATGTCGATGACATGATGATCTTTTTTCTCATGTTGACGCTTTTTTTGTTGGAGGAGGGGTTACTTGAAGTTGAAGCTAAGCTTCGATAAACAAAAGTCTGATGGAGATATGAAAGATCTGCTTGTTCGCGCAGCGACTCACAGTTTGCTGCACATTTCGACACTTTTTGAATTGCGCCCTTCAAAATGCTCGTGCGCCGAAAATCTTGCTGTCGTGGAAAACGAAAAGCGTGCTGATGTGCAACTTACTTTCTGTTTCTGTATCAATCTGTCTGGCTCATGATCTTGTATGAATATCGTTTTCTATTCCTAATCTTTGTCGCATTGGAGTCTACTTCGTTAACCTTCGGTTCTTCGTTAATCGGTGCTGTCGTTTCATTTCTTCAGCTGTGGTTCGGTATCGTGCATCGTCTGTGCTGTCTTCGTCCTCCACAAGCAGTGACAAAGCCCCTGCTGAACAATTCCGGATATCGTCCGTGCTTTCGTGCCACGTCAGTATGTGTCTCCTGACCTACATGCGACTGCGAGATCGCTCCGCCGTGCATCACTTTGTGCGTTTTTCGTTTTCACAGCTCCCCCAATCTAATGTTGTTTAGCCCTTGTTTTACTCCCCGGGAAATATGTGCAGATAGCTACAACCATCATACACATGTCATTTTTGATTATCGCCCGCGTTTTTATGGTGTATCAGCCGCGGGCAAGAAAGGAGCTGCCGCGTGCCCTCCCGGTCTACTCGTCTGATAATAATTAGGATTGCCTCACTAACACTAATGTTGTCATTACTGTTTTTACAGATGTTTTTCACTTCCTTTACAACCACCAACACCAACTTGAGACCGTGAGCCAGTACGGGCGCTCGTTGCCATTTCCAGTCGTAAGTACTTATCTTTATTGTGCAATTTCACGTAACACATAAGAGTAACCGCAAAAAGAATGCTACCGCTGCTGGGTCTGGGTGGCACTGCGGCCGCGGCGGGCATGGCATCGCTGCTCGGCCTGTTCAACTACAACCACCAGTCGATGACGGCGGAGTGTCAGAACCGGCAGAACATGATCCACCAACTGCAGCAGATGCGGATCACGCAGGCGGGCATGTACCGGCAGGATTTAAAAGACATGTTTGGCGCGGTGGACGCGAAGATGATGCTGCTCGTGCTGGTGGCCTCCATTCTGATCGGGGTGGTCTTCAACATTCTCCTGCAAGACATCCGCGTGTCCGCGCCGGTGTGGACCATCCTGTGGCTCGGGATCCACGTCTGTGCCAGTCTGATGTACCTCGGACTCGCACTCTATTTCGCCGTGTACGCCAGCATCGCGGCGGTCGCGTCCATGGTGCGGGTCCTAACGCAAGAGGTCCGGCTCCCCATCGCCAGCGCGGACGACGTGAAGTATGCGTGCGTTTACATGTCGGAGTTTGAGTCTCCCCGCCGCGTCCACGAGCTGCTCCGCGTGCCCTTCCTGCAGACCACGCAGAACCGCCGGAAGTACGGCGGGGTCGGCTGGGTGGAGCTGTTGACGTATTACAATGAAAAATGCCCTCGTCCCAGAATTTGGGAGCATTTGTATTGCAAACCTTTCCAAATGAAACATTCCTTCGCCCTCTTGCATCTACCAGCATCACAGATTTTCAATAGTGAATAGCAAATAAAATTTGTATTGCAGAACATCCCAGCAAGAGCGGCGCTTGTCATGCAAGCGATGCTGTATACGCCTACGCCTAGACTGTGCATCAGAGACATTTATAGTCCTTTCATGCATGAGAAGAAGTTTTCATGTGGAAACCTAGCATCACAAATCATTGCAACTTTGGAGGTAGGGGCATTTTTCACTGTAATATGACGCAGAAGGTGTTCGGCGTCCGGGACTGGCAGAAGACGGAGAACGGGTTCTACCGCAACTTCTTGCGCTATGGGTGTGTCAGGATTGAAATCGTCAAAGTTGAAATAATTTGTAATGCATAAAATGCATGACCCAAGGCACGTGTGTTGCAGAGCAGGCAAGTGAGGCCGATTGTAAGCCTGTTTGGGGTTACAGCTCGAGCTGCTAAAGTAGCATGAGAAAATCGCTCTTCTTTGCCTAAACAGCATGACAAAGTGGATTTAGGGACCGCCGAAATTTGTCTTGCGCCACTTGGAAACTGGGTCCCAACTGGCATCCATTTTATGCATGGCAAATTATTTCAACTTTGTCGATTTCAACTCTGACACATCCATATGCGCCTGATCGGGTCGGACACGCCGGAGGGGGAAAGAACCGTGGCCATGCGGTTCGACGAAAAGGATCGGGAGAACAACCCCTACGAGTTCCACCCCATCACCAAAGCCCTGCTCGGCGAGCACCACGGGCTCTCCGCCACGGAACTCAACAGCGCCGGGGGCGCGGCCATGCTGCAGGGCCACAGCAACGCCCGGCACACCGCCAGCAAGGGCGGCGATTTGCATCTGGGAACCTCGCAGTTCGAACTCCGCCGAAGGACGATGGCACAGATGGGCGCTGCGGCGCTACAACATCCACCGGGAAGGACCGCCGGTGTGTTCCAACTGCCCGAGCGTGCCGCGTCGCCAGTACATCCGATAAATCATCAGGGAATAAAGCAACACATCGACTACGCGGATCACCCGGACGCTCCGCAGTTCGGCGACCGATCAAGTTTGGATGGAACCTTGGGTCGCCAGCAAGTCGCCGCAGTGCCGAAGACCCAGTCGCAGGGCCGCGTGATGAAACAAGCAGAACTGGACCCATCGAATACAACAGCGAGTGTAGACTCTCCGTCCACGCACGCGGCGGTTCATCATCTTCCCGTTTCCGCGAGCAGTAGTAGTCAGCAGCAAACAAACCGCCCCCCTCGACTGCCGGGGAAACAACTGCCCTCGCAGGCCCGTACTTCCAGAAGTTCTGCGGGCACCGGTATTGATCAGAACCCGTTCTCTCAACCCGCGTTTGCGCACCAGGAATTTCGGGTGAGCAAGGGCGACCGCTTCGATCCGTACGCGCTGGACGGCACGCTCCCGGCGAAGATTCGATCCCGGTCGAAGGACCGAGAACAAATGCAGCCGGTTGTGCGGAGGAAGGACTTGGGCAACAAAATGCTGCTAGAGATGGTGATGTCACTGCCTGACGACCACGTGTATCCCGAGCACGTGCTGCTGCGCTGGCGGGCGCTCCACGTGGGGGTCATCCGCCAGGACGCCCTTGCCAACGCGTTCGCGGCCGAAAAAATGAACGGGGCCGACGCCGAGGATCCGGCGCTGAAGCACAATCCCAAGCACCTTCGCGTGCACGAGCACATGAACCTGCTGCTCCCCGAGGCGCACGTGAAGACGCCGGACTTGACGGACTGCTTCCACTTCAAGCACTACCACGATTTCGACCGCCGGTGGGGCGCGTTCCAGAAGCTCGCGCGGATCTGCGTGGGGCTGGGGACCGTGGAGATGTTTGGCGCGCTGGCGGCGCACATCGTGGTGCACATTGTGAAGATGCGAAAACTGTTCTTTTTCGGGGCGCTGATCATCTTCCTCTTGATGACCATCCAGATCTGCTTGCAGAAAGTGGAGATCGCGAGCACGCGGTTGCTGAAGCTTGACGGTTTGCTCGTTTTGGAGCAGGCGCTGACGTTGGCGATCGTGGTGGGGAGTGAATATGAAATCCAGTGCGAGCGGTTTGCGCCGCTAGTGTTTGTGGTGCACATCTTCTACATGAAGGAACTGATGGTCTTCACGCCGTTTCTGGGGTCCGGGCCGTCCTTCGAATATTTCAGAAGTGCGAAAGCGGCGGAATTTTTCACGCGCGCCACCATAGCGCTGGAGACCGAGGCGGCCGCCGCCTCCGTGCACATGGACAAAGCCGAGGCGAAAATGAGTGTCCACCACGCACAGGAAGACTTGAAAGAGAAAACTATGGATGCATCAACTTCAACATCATCTCCCGCAGCGCGCAACGAGCTTCACGCGGTAGGCGAGCTGCAGAATGCCGCCTTTCGCCAGCGGGGAATGCTGGGAGCAGGGCCTATGTCGAGATCCGAGTTGAAGAGCTTGAAGACGAGACAGGACGTTTTGGATCTGCAGAGGAAGCGCGACTCCGCGGAGATTCGATATTTGGAAGAGCATGATTTGACAATTGAGCCGAGCAGTGGCAAGGAAGAGATGAACTACGAGAAGAAGACAGCTTTGAAAATAGACGGGAACAAAACACCAGCCACTCTGCAAGCACCTAAGAGCGGCGGCGCAACATCAGGAGCGTTGAGGAGCAGCAATAGCAAAAATACTAAGCGCCAGGTGTTCACTGGGGCCTACGCGTTAGAGCTGCGCGTGGAGCGGCTCCTGGCGCTGTTTGAGCACGACTACGTCACCATGCAGCTCGACGACCCACGCCTCACTGCCATCCGGCAGGCACGGGTCGCGATGGAAGAGGCAAAGATGAAGCTAAAAATGTACTTTCCCTCCGCGAGGAGACCCGCAGCGGACTCGGCAGGGACCGCGTTTAATAGTAATGCCCCCAGCAGGAGCCCGTCCCGCGCACGACGGTCGACAGCTTTTGCGGAGGGGTCACACGCAGCGGAGGACGCTGTTTTGAGATCCTCGTCCACTGCAGGACGGAGTTCGGCATCTTCGGCGCCACGGCAGCTTCGCGACAGCCCGAGCGTCCTGGCTGCGCTGGACAACTTGAATCGGGACTTCGAGCAAGTCCAATACGGGGCGGCGGGAAGTGGGTTCAAGGTGCGGCCCATGGAGGTGGTCGACGGTATTCCGGCCACGCACAGCTGGGTGCAGCTGTACTTCCAGGGCAGTCGCGGGATGCACCTGCCCTACTACGTGTCCCCGGTGTTGCTCCGGAATAGCTGGCTGCGTCCCGGGGACGTGCCGCCGGAAACGGAGTACCACATTCCGAGCCTGCTGACGCTGCAAGTGGACGCGCGGCTGTTTGAGCTAGAAGTGGAGAACGCGGTGGAGAAGCTGCAAATAGAGGACCCTCGAGCCAGTTACAGCCCGAGAAGCCCGGCACCCTCATTCGTCGAGCCAGAGGACCTGCGTCCAGAACCGTCGAGCGAGGAAAACAATCATTTAGTGGACGGTTCCCATGCCATGTTGGTCCCGGTGGAAGATGAAAATGACGAGCATTTTTGGATAAACAACCATGGCGCATTATCCTGAGTAAAAACGTACCCACCCCATAGTCAAGATGGGGAATCGGCTAGACAAATCCACAAGCTTTGGCTGTTTCGCATGACAAATTTGGACGCGTAGCGTAGTACTGTTTGAGCTAGTTCAGCAGCATTACAGATCTAGCATACCATGCTGATTAGAGCATGACAAATTGCAAAAAACCACTAGAAAACGTTTCTCATGAGGCTCCGCATGGGAAACATTTTCAGCATGCAGATTTGCATTACAACTCTGGTGTGGGTACGTTTTTACTCAGGATACGCATCAACATCCGTGGGGACGAGTGGAGGACCTCCACAACAGCAGAACAACGCAATTTTTCCCTTTCCGATCGGACGCATTCGCTCGCGCCTGCTCGTGGAGGAGCGAAGGCGAAAATTGCGGAAACAAAAGACAAGCAGCCATGCAGGAGCGCCGCAAGATGAACTACTAGCACACGACCGGCGTGATGCAGTGGATGTCAGGGAAAGGTCGCGGCAGCAGTTTCGCGCGATGCTGCTGGAGGGTAGCCACAACACTTCTGTCGCGTCGGGCGCCCTCAACCACGAAGACGAAGATCTCGATGTGGAACAGGAAACACCTCTGCCCGGCCGCCTGTTCCGCCTGGGCACCTTTGCTATTTTCATTTCCTGGGGGCTCGCCCTGATCTGGTCCTTTTTTGCCTACACCATCTTTCTCCAGCACCATTCCCAGTACACCGGCACCGGGATGGGCTTGTCTTCGTCAAAGGCCGCGTCCCGAAGAACCTCCGCAAGACGGGCGCTCCTCTCGGAAGAGTTAAAAGACGACGACGTTGCTGGTAGTACGGGAAGTACAAGTAGTGCATTTTGCCTCGAGACCGACTTTTCAGGAGGACGGAGAACCAAGCGGTTATCAAGGACATGTAGCTTTTCGTCCGAAACAAATGATAAACGTTTGAGCCCCCCGCGTAGTTCCAGCAATGTCGATACCGCAGAAGAAAAAGAAAGAAAGCAATTCCCGGTCGCGGGGACACAAGCGAGAAAGTCAATCAACACGACTCCCCGACCTGAGCATCATGATGTTTCACCTTCCCGTGTCTCGATCGAGGCACTAAGCGTGCACCTATGCGATAGCCAAAACGGGGGAAATGGAAAATCAAAATGCCGCGCCTCGGAATTACGCGCCTTCGCGAAGTACTTGCGAGACGAGGTCGATCTGTTCGACGACGGCCTGGTCACGCAAGCGGAAATACACAGGTATCTGCAGAGCCCGACCGCGCAACAGAGTTCTTTGGAGGGTGGAGAAGAGCAAGAGCACGAAACAAGGGCAACAGCAGATGTGCGACCACGAGCAGATGATAGTGAAAATAACCGTCATGATGCCGCAGCCGCTCACATGCCTCTAGCGTCGTGGCGCAAGCAGTTGGTGGTGCAGTTAAAGAACCTGGTCGCGGATCGAAGCCAGTGGCCCGCGCTGGCCTTGGCTGCGCGGCCGTTTTCGACGTCGAAAATGAAACGCAGACAGAGTCGCGCGCAAGCACGAAGCCTGAGAGAAATATGAAATCCTGTGAAAAAAATGTCATCATATACGCGAGTTCCGTGCACGCTGGACGAGTAGTGTAGCGTGACGATGCACTGCCAGACGTGCCACAGAATAATCTACTAGGAAGGTTGTAGTGACGAAAAGTAGCAACACCAGATGAAATAATGTGGGAAATATGTTTCTAGTAGCTCGTGAAGCTCAAATGTGAAGATTGGTTTATTCCACCGTTCTAGTTCTTCGTGCGGTCTTGGCTGCAACACTCGTACGTCTTACATTCATCGCAGAAGAATTTCGTGCAGTTGCATTCGTACTCCTTCTAATCGGTCGTGCGTCTCTTTCATCGTTCTTGCGTCGAAATGGTTGACTCCTTATTTTAAGCCTCGTTCAGTCCTATTGTTATTCCTAGTATTCGCCATCTTAGTGGTCTTGGTGTGGAGGTTGTGTCGGTGGTCGTGCCTTAGATATCCGCTTCTGGCTCAGGCTTACCATTTCCCGGTAAACGGAAGGCTGGCGCTCTACTGTTTTTCGTGGTGTCGTTACATCTTTTGCTTTCGTGCCATTGCGGGTGACCACAGTCGCACACTCGCGCTACAGCCTGCACTAAGGATTGGACGCAAAAAACAATCTTTTTTGAAAACGAAACAGAAATAAGTACTCCTTTTTATATACTTACCCTGACCCACCTCCACCTTTGAAGATGGATACCATGAAGCAGTTATTCTTACCTTCAACCTCATCTATTCCTACCCCTTTTATACTACCTAGACTTTCACTTTCTGTTTCTTCATAATCAATGAAGTTGAAATTGGATCATGTGAAGTAGAGCCATTTCAGTTGCAACAAGAAGAAACTTCTAAGGCATGACGCCCTTCATCAACTTCATGATTTTTGATCTGCGCTCAATAGAGCCGCAACCACAAGCATTCCCGTAGGCTCTATTCAGGTGCTTCTACCGAGCGACCTCGTCCAACATCCCAGCACCATTGACCAGCGCACCACATCCTAGAAACCGCACCGTCAAGAAGAACATTCATCATGCTCGACCTGCTCGCGCTTGGGGGCACGGCGGCCGCGGCCGGTGTCGCGGGCTTGGCCGGGTGCTTCAGCTACAACCACGGCAACTGGTGCACGGAGTCCGAGAACCGGCAGAACATGCTCCACCAGTTGCAGAACATGCGGGTGGCCACCGCGCAGATGTACCGCGAAGATCTCAAGGACATGTTTGGCGCGGTCGACCAGAAGATGGCGAATTTAGTCCTGGTCGCGACCTTGCTGATGGGCGTGGTGTTCAACCTGATTCTGACCGACTACCAGGTAGACGTGCCCGTGTGGACGCTGTTGTGGCTGGGCATACACGTTTGCAGCAGTCTGCTGTACCTCGCTTTGTGTCTCTACTTTGCGGTGTACGCGAGCATCGCGGCGGTGGCCTCCATGGTGCGCGTACTCACGCAGGAGGTCCGCATCCCCGTCGCTACCGCAGACGACGTCAAGTACGCCTGCTCCTACGCCTCCGACTTCGAAGCACCGCGGAATATCCACGAGGCTCTGCGGGTACTCTTTCGTTTCGACGTCTACACTTCTCGTCGCCTTGAGTCATCGTTTATTTCTCTTTCAGTGCTTCTACTGCGCTATAGTCGTCTACTGAACTGCAACCGTAGCTGAAGATTGTAAACGCCACTGAGGCTACTTTTTCGTATTTCTCGCTCTATGATGTATGTTGCTCTTCGACTTTGCCGTGCACTTATGCAGCCAAAGGACCACTTCACGTTTAGCGATGAAAGCGTAGAAGTCATCATCATACTGACCCAAAACTCCTCCCCCACCAGGTCCCTTTTCTGCAGCAGACGCAGAACCGGCGGCAGTACGGGGGCGAGGGCTGGCTGGAGCTGCTGGTGAACCGGATGTTCGGCAAGGCGGACTGGGCGACGAAGGAGGACGGCGCCTACCGTACGTTCCTGAAGCTGATTGGGTCCCACAGCGACAACCCCGACGTGATCTACGACGAGGACGCAAAGTACGACCTGCACCCCATCCGCCGCGCTTTTCTCGGGCCACACCACGGCATTTCTCCAACCGAGCTTAACGAGACCGGCGGGGCCGCGCTCCTGCCCCACCCGTCGATGGCGACACACGGCAACACCGCCAGCCAGGGCGGGGACATGAATTTAGGACTGAGTCACTTCGACCTGCGGAAAAAGTTCGACGAGTTCGGCGGACTGTGGAAAAGCAAGCGCGTCGGCGGGGGTCCCCGTCGCACTTCCTCTGCGGTTGTGCCACGAAGAACAAGATCCGGGACGACCGCGCCGAAGCTAGTTCGCGGCGGGAGTGCGATGTCGTTGGGGCCGCGTGGGTTTCGGAATAATTTTGAGAGCTCCACCGCAAGAACCTCCGCACGGCAGGTCTCGAAGACGGGCATGAAGCAGCTACAAGGCAACGCGACTGCCTCGCGGGCCGTCCGATTCAAGAAACAATCCGGATCCCTCGTCAGCGCCAACGATTTCGGGCGTGACGATCTGGACGCGGACTTCACAAACCCGGAGCATAAGCAGGTGGCGCACTTTCGGAAGAAGGAGATGCAAAGGCGCGAGACGCTCGAGCGCGTCCGCATGCTGAAGACGGTCAGCAGCCAAAGCGGTGTCCCCCTGCCGGGCGCGGCTGGTTCATCATCTTTCAGGAAGCATTCGCTTGAGCGTGCGGGAGTAGACCCCCGGCTGTCCGTGGCGTCCTCCGAGACCAGTTCGGCCAGCTCCTCCTCGCACTCCGACGACAGCATGGACGAAGAGCATAAGCAGAAATTGCAGTGGGTGCACGCGCTGTTCGAAGTGGACGACCCGTACGTGTACGCACCGGACATTTTGGCGCACTGGCGGCGCATGACCATCCACATGTTGCGGCTGCACTTTCTTGCGAACGACTCGGCGGCGACCGGGTTTGGCGGGGGGCTGAACCAGGGAGGCGACGGGTACAAGCGGGTGCGGGTCCACAGCAAGATCGAAACCCTGCTGCCCGAGTCCCACGTGAAAACCCCGGATTTGACGGACTGCTTCCACTTCAAGCACTATCACGAGTTCGATCGCCGGTGGGGCGCGTTCCAAAAGCTCGCCCGGATCTGTTTGGGGCTGGGCACGGTGGAGATGTTCGGCGCGCTCTCCGCCTACATTTTGGTGCAGCTCGTGCAGGCCCGGCGGCTGTTTTTCCCCGGCTTTTTGTTCATTTTTCTCCTCACCACGATCCAGATCTGCCTGCAAAAGGTCGAGATCGCGTGCGTCAGTTTGCTGAAGTTGGACCTGTTTCTGATTGCGGAGCAGTTGATCGCACTCATAACGGTGCTACTCGTGGACGCGGAGAAGGAGTTTGAACGCATCGCCCCGCTGATCTTTCTGGTGCACATTTTCTACCTGCGCGACCTGATGCGGCTCACGCCCTTCCTCGGGTCGGGCCACTCGTACGAGCACTTTCGAAGCGCGAAGTTTGCCGAGTATCTGAGCCGGAGTACGGCGGTGGTGGCCACGGAAAACGCGGCGTCCTCGATGCATTTTGACAAGGCCGAAGCGGATGTGGCCGTGCACCACGCGCAGGAGGACTTCAAGCAACGGTTATCGGAGGGAAAGGTCGGCGTCCATGACATTTCCCCCGCCGCCCGGAACGAGTTGCACGCGGTGGCGCAGATCACCGACGCCGGTCAACGACAACAGCGGCAAAACAAGGCCTCCGTGATGGTGGGGAGCACACTGAAGCAGCGGCTGCAGCGGGGCATCTCCGAGTCCGCGTTGGAACGAGATCTGAAGCGCGACCCGGCGCACGTCCACAGCGAGGAAACGTTGCGGAAGCAAGACATGACGGAGACTCGGTTTTTGCAGCGGCAGATAGAGAAATTGGACGGAAAGCTTGGCGTGCAGGTGGACACCATGTTGACCACGCAGTCTGGAGGCGGTGCTGGTGGTCCTCCTCCTCCGCAGAAGGGTCGCCAGGTGTTTCCGGGTGCGTACGCCTTGGAGGCCCGGCTGGACCGGTTACTCGCTCTGTTTGAACACGACTACGTCGTGTTCCAACTGGACGATGTGAGATTAGCTGCGGTGCGCCACGCGAGCAAGAGTGTCCGTCACTCGAAGCGCAAGTTGCGCCGCTTCTTTCCCGACGCCCTGCGTCCACCGAGCGCGGGCGTAGTGATCCGAAACGTGTACGAGTTGGAGGACGTAGCTTCGGAAGACAGTTCCGACCTAGAAAGCTTACTGGACAGCAGAATCGAAACAGAAACCGAGAGGAGTCCTGCAGGAGGAAAAACAACAAGCCCTCGTGAAGATCCACCCATGAAGATGAATCTTCAAGAAGGCACCCACCAAGCCAGCAACCCCGCCGGGAATACTAGTACTACAACTAGCGGCTTTACAACTTCAACTGCCGTTGTACCTTTGCGCGATAGCCCTAGCGTGGTTGCGTCCCTTGAGGCACTGAACCAGGGGTATCAGACCTTGCAGCAGGAGGAGAGAACGCGACAGCGCGAACAAGTTCTTGGGGGTCCGCTGATGACGCGGCCAGTTGTAACAGGAGTAGGTGGACCTCCCTCGTCGTCGCAGGCGCAGCCGACAACTCCGGTTGCACAACTAGACCGGCTGAGAACCGTTGCAAACAAGCTACCAGGAACTTCTTCTACGACTGCTCCCGGTCAACTACAGGGCAAGGCGAAGGAACGGCGGAATAGCAAAATGCCACACCATATTCCGGCAAAGCACAGCTGGGTGGAATTGTACTACATGGGGGTGCGCGGCTTGCATCTCCCGTACTACGTCTCGCCCGTGTTGCTGCGCAACAGCTGGCTCCGGCCTGGCGACGTCCCCGACGAGACGCAGTATCATATCCCAACCCTGCTGACACTGCAGGTGGACGCTCGCCTATTCGAGCTGGAAGTAGTCAAGGCCGTTCGGCAACACGGCGGGGGCGCGGCAGGTGCACGGACTTCCGAAGAGTCCACTGCCAGCGGGGTGAGTCATGGTTCAAATAGCAAACCAGCAGCTCTAGTACTCCAACCTCCGAATACAACTAGTAAAGGAAATTTTCTGGCTTCCATTGGAGGTAGCGGTAGCGCAATCAACATCACCAGGCGTCGCAGTCAATCGTCCGTCACCGAGCACGTGCACGTGGACATCGCTCCGATTACGGTAACTCCGAGCTCGGACCGCGTGCTCCCCACCGCGCGCGACACCATAGGCTCCGATGGTACTGCACCTCCCGGAGAAGCTGGTGCTCCGCTAGGTAGTACTATCACGGAAGGACTCGCCGTCGATCCCCGGTATTCTTCCTCCGTACCACCAGCGGAAGATGATGAAAGAACTGAAGCCGACCGTGAGAAGTCCACTATTCCGGTCCGCTCCTCGCTGTCCCGCATCCTCAAAACCTCAATCGTTCAGAACGAAACAACAATGATAGAGCCAACAGAGGTGGCTATGCCTAGTCAACAAGAAGTTGCTTTTCTTGCGACTGACGCGACGGACACGGGAGTTGTTGAAGATGTCCCTCGTCACTCGTCACGCGATGAAGTAGAAGTTCTTGGCCGCAACCAGCGGGCAACGAACGCGGAGATCATGACCACTTCTGCTTCTGGAGAAGACCGGGCTCGGATTCTAGGGTCCAGTGTAGTTGCTGTGGAAAAGGAAAACACGGACCGAGATACAGCGGTGAACGACAGCCAATCAAACAGCAGCGTTGCAGACCTGACCACCAAAGTTCATCAAAGGCTGAAGACCGAGCACGGCCTTGATGGTGCAAACGGCCTGGTGCCCTTGGAGAGCGTTACCATAGAGTTAACAGAGAAGAAAAGTGGCGCTTTATTGCAGCAATTTCCTTCATCGTCTACGAGTGGACCCACCGCGTCGGAAGATGCTCCAAAGGACAATGACGTTAACGAAGAGGACGAGGGAACAACAGCAACCAACATAGTGCCTACACTAAAATCGCCATCTTCTCCTGTGGTTATGGAACTGCTGCAGCAGAGCGCGTCTTCATCTTCACACTCGCGCCTCTCGTCAGGGATAGATACAAATTTCATTGAGCTACGCAGGCTCTCCGGAGTCGCAACGTTGTCTTCCCGAAGGCCCTCAACCCCACGCATGAGTACGACGCCGGCTAGCACCTCCGATATTGAAGCAACTGCGTCCTCATCGCAGGCCGTTGTTCCGAGTGCATCAAGCTCGAGGACTGGTACTATGATAACTCCCACGACCATCCGCAGCCCGCAGCTGCCGAAGAAAAGGTCAAAAGAGGTTCGTATCATCGACCTTGTCGGGCCTGCCGCGCAGAAGGTGTGTGGACCTTGTACCACCCCGCGAGATCCTTATGTGGTTGTTCCTACAACTTTAGACTCCGTGGCAGAGGAGGAAGTGGAATTAAGTCCCGCAACAGAACAAGAACTACGCTCCACCAGCAATAGTAAGTTGCCCGATAAAAACATACTACTTGAGGGTAGCCACCAGTACCGCGCTTTTCAGTGGTCCCCAAAGAAACGCCGGCGCTCTACGTCCACGGGATCCTCGTCAAGTGGCGAGGAAGCCGGACAACTCGAGCTGGGTGCGCTAGGAACGTCGGCACAGGCCAAGAACGAAACGCCGCTGCCGGGCCGGCTGTTTCGCCTGGCCACCGTCGCCATTTTCTGGGCCTGGACCCTGGCCTTCGTGTGGACCATTGCGGTGTACACAATTTCCTGGGATGAGGAGATGAAGGGAAAAGCAATTGCGCGACGCCTGCAAGCTGCCGCGGAGCAAGAAGACGTCGACTTTTGCGGTACACCGGAGCCCTCGCTGGGATGCAAAGTGCTACGGCGGCTGCTCAGCACCAGGCAGCGCGCTTCGCTGCAAATCAAAATCGACGTTTCGACTGAAGATGCCCAAGAACTCGTGGGCGCTTATATTGACCACGAGGGAGGTGCGCCACTCGCCGCCAGTGAAGGCAACTACCGACGCCGGTTGAGCGACACCGAGCAGCAGGAGGACCTCATGATCGTCCCCCGAACAAGCATAGAGGAAGACGAGCTCGTGGACATCTACAATGAGCGACCTGTTTTCGTCGAAGACCTCAGCGTCAGCCTATGTGACTCACAGTTTCTTCTTGACCGCGCGGGTAAGATTTCCAGTCTGGAATCGAATACCAATACGGCAGGTGATGGCACACAGCATATTGGCCCGAGCAAACAATGTGGCGCCCGCGACGTCAAGCGGTTCCTCCGGTACCTGCGAGACGAGGTGGATATATTTTCCGATGGAATTCTAACAAGTTTAGAAATAGACCGCTACTTCGAAACGAAGGAGCGCGACGAGCACGATGTAAACTCGGAAAAAGATGATCTCGACAGAAAAATTAGCCGTGTCGTAGATGGTGGGCTGCGTAAGCTGCAGAATGATAAAATAAGTGGGAAAGAACCCAGTAATGGCTGACTTTTTCGATGGTCTCAGCGAGAGCGGAAAACATGACTAAGATTGCCAAAAGATTATGTAAGTGAGTAGATTTAGATGTTGAGAAAGTTAGTGTTAGCAGACGATACATGTACAATCCTTTGGTGCATTTCTTTGACGTGATTCGATTGGAGACAAAGTTGATACTGACGAAGTCCTTCAAGACGAAACTTTTCTCGAAGAAGGGCGAACAGGTGGCCTTCGAGTGTACCTGGTGTTCCAGTTTTCCATCATGTTGAAATTGAAATCGTTCCGTCTGCTCGATTTGGTTCTTCTAGATCACCACGTAATGGAACTGTCTCTTGCTGCTCTTGCTGTTACAAACCAGTGTCCGCCAAGTCATCTACCTGCCAGGCGGACTCGCATCATACTTCGAACGGCTGATCTGCGATTTTTTGGTGCAAAATGAACTTTTTTTGGCGGTCCTAACACCTACGACGTACTTGTCTGCAATAGTAAGATGAACATGTATCGACGAAATCACGTCGAGTAGCGCTCGTGTACGTGCCACCGCTGCCGCTGGTCGACTCTATGCTCGGGCATATGCATAAGCTCGTACGACAACCTTGAGCTCCCTTTTCAACATCAAGATCAAACGTTTTAGTATTTTGTTTCCAGTTGTTGAAAGTACATCTACTTCTACATTCACATTGCTTCGCGTTCGCCCGAGGAGCGAAAAATAAACTCAAAAACATACCATGGCGGCGTCCATCCCAGCAGCCGTTGGAGCCGCTGCATCGTCCTCGCTGATGGCCTTGCCGACAGTGGTGCTGCGGTGCGCTTGTCCATCACTGGCGTGCTCCATTATGCATTGCAAAAGCATCGTACTAGCATAAATCGCAATACAAATTTTCTCAGAAGGAGAAATGGAGTTTGTAATTCTGATTTGGCTAAGAAACAAGATTTGTCATGCATGATTGCAAATAGTACAACGAGTACGATACTTTTGCAGAGCATATCCATGACCTGGTTGCAGTTGCAAAAACTCCGCGAAACCAGGAACTTCTTGTTGAGCCGGCATGACAGTTACAGTTCGGAAACTACGAGCAAAATTTCCCTGACGCCGCGGTCGGTAGCTGAAACTACACCTCCCAGTAGTACCGTCTTTAAGGTTCCGAGAACGACGAAGGTTCACATGTCGCTGGACATTCTACAACCACTTCAGATGTTGAACAAGACGAACGCTGTTCTTGGCCCCCGCGAAGGGTCTACGACTTCCCTCGCTACGAGCACATCTAGTGATGTGAACCAAGCACGACCTGCTCCAGCAGAGGAGTACAAAAATCCCGTGCCTGCCTTATTGGGACCACAGGTGTCAGTCGAGGTTTGTGGTGAGGCGGTGCAGTGTATTACACAGGTGCCACACTTGCTTGACCTCGCAGAGGAAGCAGCGAGGTGCTGGGAACCTGTGATCACAAAACTTCGCAATAAAGCGTCCAGAGAGATCTACAACAGTGCGGACTAGTAACGGCGGAGAGGCCGCACAAGCAACTGGCAGAAAACAAAGCCGAACAGCTGGTGCGAGAAGAGAAGTAGCTATCACTATCAACAAATTTTTGCGGTCTTGGAGCTGAGGTTCAGGCAACCTGCACTACCCACAGTAAAAGACTACACTTTGAGGACATCACATGGATTATTACCATAATCAGTAAAGGTAATGGAAGAAACAAAATTGGCATGCATGATAATTGCACTCCAGCACACCAGGCAGTAGTTTCGCTTCGCGTCATACTGAAAGACTACTAATTTGCTACAGTTTCATCTGGCTTCGGCTGCACCCAGTGAGTCCACTAAACCACTAAGTACAAGAACATATTGGTGATGAAGGCAAAGCCAGCGCGCCATAATTTTTTCATAAGACCATTTCTGTGACCACTACGGATGCGGTAGCCGTAGAAGCGCTTTGATCACTTAGCGATCAAAGCGCTTCACATCATGTGACTTGTTGCCACCACGCTTGTGTTCGGATGCCACCTAGACTTGGTGCGGGTTTTATTGTGGTGGTTTTCTTTTAGGCTTTTGTGGTGATGAAACTAAAGCCCGACGCGCTTCTCCGTCTACAAGCATTTTGGTCCGTGACAAGAAACTTTTCGCCTTCATCGAACATACGGTAAAGAATCAGCTTCGCTATAGTTGTAAAAAATGCTTTCGTATTTCTTTCGAAAATGCACTAGGACCACAGGTCTGGTATTGCTTTCCATTCTTTCGGAAATTTTTCGAATCACGCATGGTCTTGCAGCTCCTGATAGTGCAGTAGACCAAGAAAAGAATGAAGAGCTACACGATGGCAAGAAAATACCGCCAGTCACGCTGCGCAGCAATTTGAGCCTGTATATCCCGTTCCTGCACTATTACGACTTGATTTTTTTCGAGTCACCGCTCGTGCCGACTAGCGATGTTCTCGATCGGAACGCGCACGATGAACTCGCGTATCCCACGAAAAAACTGCTTCACTGTGATGATTTTGCAAGAACCGCATCACAAGTTTGCTACACATGACACAGAAAATTCGCCATGCGCGTTTCCCAAGGGAAAGCACGCTTGAAAATCCAATGTCTTGCAGGTGTAGCAAGACAAATAGTTCTGTGCTCCATTTTCTGCATCACAAGTTCACAGTGAAGCAGTTTTTTCTTGCGATATCGTGATCGCGACGGCAAATTTGGTCCAACTCCTGCCCCACTTCTCGCGAGAGCACGTGCCCGCGCAGGTGGGTGAGGCAGTACAGGATGTGTTGCGGTTTGTGGCACGAAAATTTTCCAGCGAGGCGGATACAAGTCCTACTACACCGGGCGCGCCGATATTCCTGGCCCTGGCGAGAATCGCGCAATTGCAGTTTCTGGCCAACGCGCACACCGTTTTTCCATCGGCTGAGTGTGTTTGGGGCGCGGATCGCATTTCTCGCGTTGTCTGCGGTAGCGACGGCTGGCAGTGCAACGCGAACAAGAGCGGCCGCCTTGCCGCCCGCGATGCAATCGCTCTGCTGCGGGACCAGGTAATACGGGATCATCATCTCACGACCGTGTTGCAACCTCCAGGAGAGGCCGCGGGCGCCCTGGAATCCGAATCTGCTCAAAGCGAAAATGACAAGATGAAGCGTCTGTTTCATTTACCCGTTTCTTCGTGTGTTTCGTTGACCACCTACGCCACTCTGTCGCTCGGGCTTCCGGTGCCTTGGCACTACTTTTTGCAAAACAGCGGTAGCACGAGCACGACATTGCCGCTTCTGCCACCTTTGCTTCACACCCTGGACCACCTTGCGCGCCCGGCGACGGTTCAAATTGACCTGCGCGCTCCCGGCTTCATCGACTCGGAAAACCACGAATTTCGGCTTGAAAAGGACCAGGACCTCAAGCTGACGTTGGCAGTCTTTCCCGAACGGGAACTTGTCTCGGACTTCTTACGCGCACGAAAAGTCCCGTATTGCAACGGCGGCGTGCTCAAAGCGGTGGAGACGTGGTTCTTTACAACGTCAGAAGTAAAACAGCGTGATAGAACAGCAGCAGCGGCCGCGCATGAGGATAGAAGTGCAGAACCCCTCCATCTCATCGAAGTCGGTGCCAATCTTGGAGATTGCCTTCTGTTCCTTCTAAAGAAACACGCACATTGGACCGGCCAAGCCGTGGAAGCGGTCCCGCGAACGGCCCAACGCCTGCGCGAGTCCGTTCGGCTGAACCAGCTGGGCCACCGCCTGGAGGTGGTAAACCGAGCCGTGTCTGCGGAGAATCAGAAGTTCATACCCCTGAAAAGCAAGCCCTTCAGCCTCAACAGCGCCAGCTTCACGGGAACGGACGACGAGGCAAACGAGGGAAGCGGATCGCACAGCTCTTCTGTCGGAAGTACAACCTCTGGCGCAAATGTTGAGCAGAACCATGCAGTAGTAAGACCCAGGCCGAAAAAAAGACTGAAAAGCGCAAGAACCACTGGTGTGGTGTCCTCGAGTCGCGCACTACTAAGAACAGCTGCAACGACCACAACAACTGGTGACGAGGCGCAAAATAAATCGGGTCGAGACCTCCGTGTCCCCACGTGCCGTCTAGACGATGCGTTTTTCTTTCCGAAAGCTGCTGACGTGCTTTTGCTGAACACAAATGGCCACGAGCTTTCGGTCCTGCGCTCCCTCGAAGCTCGCAGCATGCCCGATTTGATCGTACTCCAGATGTATGCGCGGGACCACGGTGTAGCCAAGGATCCGAACTACAGTGCTGCCGAAATTTTCCGGTTTCTCTTTTACCGCGGGTACTCAATGCATTGGACCAACGACCCAATAGGAGAGAACAAGAGGATCGACTCCCTTCGCGATTTCTATCTACTACTCGCCACCGTTTCACCGGTGTTTGATTTGGTGGCACAACGGCGCAAAGGAAGCGTAAGTCGACGGACAACTAAAGTTGCGCACGGTCAGGATGAAGGCGATCACGATGGAGACTCGAATGAAAAATTCCACAATGCCCTTTTGGTGCGGTCTTTGGAAGCGGAGTGGAGACTGAGGCACATGTCGCAGGCCGATAACGAAACTCCCTTTCTTGCCGTCGGCAACGGCGAAACGCCCAGTTCCTGGGTGGAAGTCTCCGCAGGCCGGCTCCGCGACAATTGGCGACGGTTGTCATCACTCGTGCCGGCGATTCTCCACAGGGCACTGCCAGACGCCGCCGCGCCGGAAATCGGTGTGGTGCTGAAATCAAACGCCTACGGCCACGGTGTCGGCCACGCCGCGAAGATTCTTGCGGAAGACGGAGCAAAGACGTTTTTTGTCGACAGTTTGCAGGATGCGATCAAAGTGCACGAGTCGCTAGTAGTCCCTGACTCCACTGTGTCTGTGTCATCAGAAAGGGACGTGCGACCGGAAATAGAAGATCAAGATTTTGAAATCGTCCTTCTCTACCGCGCGCCTCGAAGTTTGGCGATCCTGTGCGAGCTGGCCGCCAGGAAAATCTCTGTCACCGTGCTCAGCCTCCGCTGGTTGGAGGAAATGTTGGCCTCAGTAGAGTTACAGTTTTCGGGAAACGAAAATGCAAAAACGCCAGTAGACTTTTCTGTCGCCGAAGTGTGCAGGGGTGTAATTCCAGCGCCAACAACAACAGTGCAGAAGCTGCGAGTCCATTTGTGGTTCGACTCGGGCCTGGCTCGGGAAGGCTTGGACTACGACTCTGAAACGATTGCTCGATTGAGCAAAATGCTGATGAAAAATGCAGTGAATAACCACAACATCCTCGACGTCCGCGGCGTCGGGACGTCCTGGTGTTGCGTGAACGATCTCGAAGCGATGGAGCATTACGCTGCGAAATTTCGGGAGACAGCTGAAGTTCTGCGTGCCACAGTACTAAAGGATAAGGAAGTTTATTTCCATGATCCAGCAGCTAGTGCTGACGAACCTCAACGCTATCAACGAGCCTTGTTCAAGTTGCACACGATCGCCTCCTCCGGGCTTCACCACCCGCACCTGTACTTTGACCTAGTGCGGATCGGTGGCTTCTTGTTCGGGCAGGGGGGTACGCTGGGAAAGGACCAAGTTCGCCTGCAGTCGGCTTTACTTTGGAAGAGTGTGGTCTCCTCGCTGCATTGGTTCGACCCCCGGCAGGAGCGTATGGGCTACTGCGACCTGCAGGGCGAGGGCTGTTTGCAGCCAGCCGCCGCGGTTCTCTTGCCCGTGCAAAAACTGCTACGGGACGAGGAGGAGCTAGTACATATCTAGAACGGGCGGTCGCTCCGCGCCCGCCGGCCCGGCGACGAGGGGGTGCAAGGGGGAGCGAGGGAGAAAGAAGCTATCGGGTAGCGCCTAGCGCTACAGCCTCAAACCATGCTGGCGCCAATGGCGAAAAAAAGAAACGGCAGCGCCCCTGGCCTTCTTCCCTCGGCCAGCGGGAGCGAAAGCAGTGTAGGTAGAGAGAAGGCCGCGAGGCGCAAGGGGCGGTAGGGGGCGCACAGCGCACCCCCTGCCCGAGCCGCCACAAACAGGTCCGGCGGAGAGCGTGCCAGGACCCTTTTCGACGGCCCGGGAGGCTAGTCACAGGTGGAAAAAGAAGGAAAAGAGCGCGCCGATGGCCGAACGGCTAGAAATACGGCCGGCGCCAAGCAAAGATAAAACAGAGCAGGCAAGGAGGCAGCGGGAAGGCAGAGAAGGCGCTGCGGGTGGTTCTCGCAAGAAACCAGACAACCCCCAAAAAAAGTAAGCAGGCCAAAACCCGCGCCCGGGGAAGAGGGAAAAAACCCCGGAAACGAAAGGGGATGGAAGCGCCCGAACAGCCCGATGGGGCGAAATCAGGCAGCCCCGGCGAGGCCGAAGAGCCCCCGCGGCCGGCAGAGGGCACGCGACGAGGCCCGCCCTGGAGAGCCACAGGCGGCAGGAAAGGCGCAAACTGCCGCCAACCTCCTCGAAACAGGGGGCGAATGGCAAGGGGCGCCAGAATGCAGCACGACTTCGGCCCCGGGCAGGCAATCGGCAGCCGCCAAGCAGGCGCCGAACGAAGAATGCTCGGCAAGGGGAGACCGCTGCCCCAAGCCCCCTGCCCGAGTCTCCTTGACACGCGGCCCGGGCGAGCTTTTGCTGGTCTATTGTGTTTCTATCGCGATTTCTCGCTCCGGCTGCGTTGGCGGGTTTTCGCACTAGTGTTTTCGCTTTCCCCAAAATCTGCATTTTTGTCACTAGTGTCTCCACTAGTGGGCACCTTCACTAGTGGTGCCTGTCACTAGTACCGGTCGCGCCTTTTTGTGACGCTAAAACCACTAGCAGGATTTCTACTAGTGGCTGCTTTTCCACTAGCACAATTCTACTAGCAGCGTTTCTACTAGCACCTCGCACCCCCGCGTCCGCCAGAATTTTTTGAATAGTATTATAAAAAACTGCTACGGGACGAGGAGGAGCTAGTACATGGTCGCGAGGACCCTGCGGTTGGTGATGAAAAGAACAAAATGTGGAAAATTGCGGTGTTGCCTGTGGGAAGTGTCGACTTTGCTGGGAAGGGGTTTGTTGTGGTCGATCGCCCGCTCCTTTCAGATGCGGATGAACAGGATGCAAAGGAGGAGCCCTTGCCCGTCTTGTTTCAAGCCCTGTCCACGACGGTGGTGGGTATTTCCGAGGTAGTCCACCCAAGAACTTTCCGTCAAATCCGAACGGGTGCCAAGGTCATCCTGTGCGACGCAGAATGCATGCGAACGCGACCTGTAAGCGCCTCGGTACCGAGGATCCGCGTGGATTAGACGGTGGAGTCAGCGTCGACTTTTTTCTCTCGTGGTCCTGACTTTAACCCTTACAATTAATGAGACTGGGATAATATGTCAATCTCAATGTCATCTCCCACAAAAGCAAATTTTTTCACAGATAGCGACAAAACGCATGTACGGGCTCGCAGGTGAGCGCGGTCCGTTTCGCAATTGTATACTTGACACAGATGATCGATTATATGATTATCGTTGATAGTGGTGTTCGTGTTGCGCAGCAAATTGCACGCGCACCAGAACCAGAAGCGCACTAGTGTTCTCCATGCATAGAATAAGTACTTTGACTTTCAGTTTTTGCAAATAAAGGCGATTGTGAGGATTGATGCGTAGCTGTGCCTACGAACTTGAGCCGTCAGTTTTTGATCTGAAGAGAGCTCTCCCGTCTTATATTTCTCTTTCAGTTTGCATCACAGCCAGGCTCCTTTTTGTTTTTACACCGCTCAATGAACACGATCTTTAGCTTTTATCGATCTGTCAGTGCCCGATCTTCGAGCTTGATCATTTATCTGTTTCAGACTCTTTTCAAGGGACAAACTAGTAACGCAAGTGGAACGCCACGGGGTGCTGTTGTGAGTAGGAGCTTCCAATAACCAGAAAGTTGCCATATCCCATTGTGTTCGTAGTGGAATGCTCTTTAGCAGCATGTTGCAAAGCACTAAAGAGCACCGACTTCTCACCATGTCCATAACAAGGTAGCAGTTCCCCTTACTGTACACTTTCACTTACAACAGGATTTCGGCATCATGTTGTCGAGGTTTGCCCTGTCTGGGCGCGGCGCAGCGCGAACATGTGCGGGGGCCGCTCAACCGTCGGCGCTGAGGTCTTTCAGCCGAGCGCTGAATCAGGTACTCACGAGACCCAAGTTCAACCCGCCGCCGGAATCGGCGACCTCCCAAGATGAGAATAACGGGCCAGGCTTATCCTCGTTGGACGCGTTGGGACAAGGTGCCACTGGTACTGCAGAATTTCACAGCAGGAGGCTACAGGATGAGCAACTGAGCAAGAAGTTTCGAGGACGAACATTGGACCTGCAACCGGCGGGTTTGTTAAAGGGAACTACATCACCGTCTTCTTCTAGCAGCAGTTCCTCATCGAGCTCGAGCAGTTCGAGCAGTTCCTCGGCATTTGCAAGTGGGCACCAGAACTACAAGAGCCCGAGGTTCTCGCAGATGTTCGTGGAGCCCATGCAGTTTACACAATTGGACAACGGAACGCGCATCGTGAGCTGCGATCGCGGCGGGGCCGGCGCGCAGCTTGGCCTGGCGGTGCAGATCGGGTCCAGGTACGAGACTGCGGACGAGCAAGGTTGTACGCACCTCCTGGAGCTGCTGGCCCTGCGAGAAACCAAGCACTTCACGAACTTTGGCATGGCGAAACTCCTCGAACATCTGGGAGCACACTTCAGCATAGCCGGCGCGACAAGGGAAACACTGCTCTATCGAGTAACAAGCTTTTCATCTGCATCTTCAAGTTCGAAGGATTCTCAAGCAAAATCCACCTATATGATAAGCTGACATCCACGGGACAGGAGGCCCCCCTAGAGCTAAACATGTATGATCTGTGCTCCATGAATGAACTAAACAAATTTCTTCAGGTGGAAGCCCTGCGAGACGCAGTGCCGGAAATAGTTCCCCTGCTTGCCTCGAACTTCCTCTGTCCCAAGTTTGTACCCGAGGAAGTGGCCGAAGCTGTTGCGAAGATCGAAGAATCGAAGCAACTGCACGTGCTTGACCAGCATCCGGAGTCGGCGGTGAACGAGCTGCTTCACCAGGTGGCGTACGGGGACGAACCCGGGCTCGGGAGCCCGCTCATGGCCAAAAACACCGAGAAAATTCTCGACGTGCTGCCTGGGTACCACAGGCGGTTCGCCTCCGACGGCAGCAAACTGCTGTTCTGCGGCGTCAACGTGCCCCACGCCCAGTTGGTAAAAGAAGTGCAAACAAGTCTGGCCGAGTGTGCTTCGTGTCTGGAGGTGGACGAAGAAGGTACAACAAGTAGCCACATGGCGATGGGCGCAACGGAAGCGTCAGGCGTCTCGGAAGAACGAGAAACCCCAAGAATACTGAAGCCGCAGGACTACGTGGGCGGGTTTCACGCGCAATCCTCTCCGCTGCCCCCGGAGCAGCAGGGACCGCTGGCCCACCTCGCGGTCGCGTTTCTGTTGGAGGGCGGTTGGAACGGGGAAGAAGTTCTGGCCGCGAGCGTGCTGCAAACCCTGCTCGGCGGGGGCGGGAGCTTCAGCACCGGCGGGCCCGGGAAGGGCATGCACAGTCGGTTGTTCACGAACGTTTTGAATCGGTACTCGTGGGTGGAGCAGTGCAGTGCGTTTTCGCACCAGTACTCAGACAGCGGCCTAGTCGGAATTTACGGTATGGTCGACCCGAACCACGCAAAGGACTTCATCACCATCGTCGCCAACACCTTCTTCGACCTGCGCACCTTCCACCCGATCGAAGTGCAGCGGGCGAAAAACCAGCTGAAGAGCAGCATCTACATGAATCTGGAGCCCAACGCCGTCCTGCTGGAGGACTTCGCACGACAGCTGCTCATGTCCGGCGTGATTGCAAGTGGTAAGAAGAAGTCGGCGGGACTTAGACTTTTACACTTGATCCAAAGATTTTTGACCTCCTGTGAAGATGAAGATGTTTTGTGCACGTTGCGACGATACTGTGTATGAACCCAGGGCCTCGAATCATTTATTTTTTTGAGAAGGAACATCTTCGTGCACAAACGTACACGATATAAAAATCCAACATTATCAGGTCGTGACTTTGCCGCCATGGTCGATCAAATTACTGCGGACGACCTTACCAGGGTAGCGAGGAAGTTGCTGAAGTCGGGCCGGCCGACCGTAGTGCACTACGGAAACACGCAACAGCCACTGAACTATGCGGACATCGAAAACACATTTGCTCAAGTCCGGCGCGCGCTCGACCAGTCCGTTGTGCCGCCTTGATTTGAGTACTGAGTGTTGTACTAGCGGATACACATAGACCCCCTGTCTAGGAGGGTTTCTTGTGGTAACAAGAAAATGTACACATAAAGATAAGCAGAAGCATCGGGTTGCGCTTTTTCATGGCTTGTTTCCACAGTTTCTTCTTCTTGCAAGTTTGTTCGGCTCCATACTCTAAACCGTTGTTCGCTGCTGACAAGAGGCACGACGTCACTTAGTCCGTATACCGAAGTTGGTGACATAGAGTTGAAGTATTACCGCGTGCGGTTGTCCACGGCACTGCCACATTACGGTATGATAGCGTGTGTGAGACTGAGGAGCGCATGGTTTTATGAGCCGTTGAGAGACGTCGAGCGAGGAGAGCGGTCGAGGGCACAATGTATGAACAAAAAGCGTTCCGCGTCGAGGTGTTTTGCTTGTTCCCTCGTCTCGTTCTACAACTTGGTACGAAGTAGTGGAACCTTCCAGCCTACATACTGTCTCTATGTATCCGCCCCTTCCCTCCACATCAGGAATCGAACAGTCCCTCCCTCACCTTAAACTACTAGATGCTTTCTGACCCAGGCGTGAAAATCAAGTTTTTATAGAAACGAAGAGTAGAGTTAGAAGAACACTTTTGCAGCTAAAGATATGATGGACAACCTGTTGTGCACCCGTCCGCGCCCCCCTTCCGGGGTCTTTTCGGAAATGTCTGGTGGGCCGCCACTCTCTACAACTCACCAGGCAAAACAGCTTGGAGTAGCGAGTGCCACTTCCGAGAACGAAAATTATAGCGCAGGTGCAGAACCATATCCGAATCACCTCGGAGAGGTATTCTTCGACTTGACGCGGAACACGGGTGCGGCGCGTCTGCGCAAGAACTTCCGTTCCAATCCGCTGATGATGGAGGAAGACTATGTGCGGAACCCCGTGCGCTCGGAGCTGCAACCGACCCCAGGAGTGCTGAAAACAAACGTGTTGTCCGAAAATGAACAGGCAGTACTGAAGAGCTACAACTTCAGTGCTGAGATTCTGAAGATGAGGCGCGACAAGGAGTTGGAACAACAGCAGGCGAACGGTGACGGTAATAACCCTGATGCAAAAGGTCAATTTGTAGTTTCCCATCAGCATCATGCTGCAGGTCCTACTCCGAGCGAAGTAGAACAAGACCACCCGCTATCCAAGAAAAAAACACCATCACAATCACACTTGGGAGGTTTTGCATCAGAAATTTGTCTCGCATAACAAAACTTTCTTGTATTGCAAAAACACAAAGGGAAATCGGCTATAAGTGTTGACTGTGATGCATTTTTGCGCATGACAAAAATTTTTTGTATTGCAAAAATGTGCAAAAGTGATTGTGATGGTGTTTTTTTCTTGGATACCCGCCGAAGTTCAAAACTGCGGCAGAGCTGCGCCGGGACGCACGGGAGTCGAGGATGTTGCACGAACAGCACGCCAATAGCATTGCTTTACGGAGCTTGCATCAGCGGGGTTTGAGCAGCTTCAACGCTTCGGCCCTGTCTTTCACCAACGGCGGAGCAGGATCTACTTCTGGTGGCTCAACAAACGCCAAGTCTTCAGGAGCAGCGACAGGCCCTTCGATGAGCGCCGGCACGCGGGTAGTTGCTCCCGCCGCAGAACTTGGGCACGAGAGGCTCGTCACTTGGTCATCGGAGCACATGCGCGGCGGGACCCGGAAGCGCAACAAAACGATGCGCGTCGATCCGGCAATCCTGCAAGCCTTGTCGAAGACAGGGCCCCCGCCGAGCTCAGATTCTAGCTGCGAATTGCCGACGAGCTTTTTGCAGCAAGATCACATCATGCCAGGAGTGCGACATGTTCTTGACCACGGTGGGGTCTCTTCCTCAACCTCCTCGAATGGGTGGTCCTCCGGCCCCGTAACTACAGCAGCCCCCGCGCCAACTCCAGCGCCCCTCGATCAGTTCAACAACACGTTCTTTGGAAATTTGAATCTACCGGCAGCCCGCGCCGGCTCCGTGAGTCACGACCCGGTATCTCTTGCCGCGAAGATTCTTGGCGAAGCTCCCGCCCCGCGGATCCAGAACAGCACCCGGGCAAAGACGAGAACAGCTTCGTTCGACTTGGAATCCACGGCTGGATCGGATTTTTCAAGAAGTTTCCGAACCAACGTGAATCAGGTCAAATTGCCGCCACTGCCCACTCGACTGGAGACTCCGGCACACGTTTTGGTTAACTGACGGCCTGAAGAAGGAACAATGAATGTTGACGATGCGGCGCACTAGTAGTGCGTGTGTTTCAGTTTCTGTTTCGATCAAATCTCACCTGAATGTGAATTCAGCACCGCAAAAAAATCAGAAACGTTCTTATCCCACCCGTGCAACGTCGCTTTCCTTCGTTCTATTAGATGCACGAAAGTGGACGTGCGATTACAGCCCCGAACCGAATCTGAATGAATTCGAATAATTTTATGAAAATGAACGAACAACGAGATTCACTATTGCGCCTCTTAAACTGCAGTGCAGGCACTGGCACAGCCACAAATCCTGCATGCGAATGAAAGAGTATGCGTATGGGTAATAAGTCCTCCTTTTGTACTTGTTTGCATGTGTTTCTTACAAAGGAGAATCGATCCTCCACCTCGAAGAGCGAGCGGCGGCGGCCGCAGCAAATCAAAGATACGTACCACATACATACAGAAGGACATCACAGATCGAAGATGTTTTCCCAGCCATCTCAACTATACCGGCAACCACCGATGGTGCTCTAAAAAAGAGATCCAGGAGCATGTGAACTAGAGAGGTCTAGCACTCCTTTTGGTGTACTTACACCAAAACGATCGAGATCCACGTATCGTATCTTTCGTACTTTCGTACTTTTGGAATTGAATCGGTACCGAAAAAGAAAATCATGCTCATCACTATGCTGCCTGCTCGACGGCTTTGCGCCATCTTGCTGGCGGTGGACACGATCTCCCTACGACCGGTGGGTGCATTTCGGACCAGGTCATCTCCGAACAATGCGCGGAGGCAATCTCGCATAAGTCAGTTGGGAGCACCGCCGGGGGAAAGTGAAGATGCTCCTTTGGAGTCTCCTACACGACCATCTTCTGGCGTACTACAACAAGAGGCCCCGACCGCAGAGTCTGTTTCGTCGTCAAAGCCGCAAGCAAAACTGCAAGCATCAGCACTGGCACCGGCTGCGCCTCCACGGTGGGCGTCAATGAGCGACTCGTCGTCGAGTAGCCCCGCCGTTGACGCACGCAGAGGACGTTGCGCTTCGGCCACAGCGACCGTGCCCGGAGTAGAGAACAGCGTCTCTTCGGGCTGCCCTACGATCACCGAGCAGGTGGCAATGCCAGAGATCATCGGGGCTGCAAGCCTTGCAGGAGGAGGTGACCAGCACGTGTCTTTGCGCGTGGAGTCCGAGGCAGTGAGTGTGCGAGAATTGCGTGCAGTGTTCGAGCAAACAGCGACGCCAGGCGGTTACAATTCCGCGCTTTCCTCTTCTACCGGTAGTATCCGAGGAAGCGCTCCTGGTGCCGGGCGCAGCTATGCGCAGGTTGTGGCGAGAAAGAGCGCGACCGGAAACCAACAGCAGCAAAAAGACGCCCCGCTCCCGCAGCACTGCCAGCAATCCACCACGTCTGCGTCATCTTCAAGCAGATTATCTTCAGGCAGATTATCTGCAGCAGTTGGAAATAACTACAAACCTCCTGGAGGCACCACGAGGGTAAGGGCGCAGTCCGTCCCGTCCTCCGCTACTCCGACTGGTGCTGTCCCCATCATGAAAAAAGCGCGAGTAGATGGGCGGTTTGAAGGGATGAATCTGAATGGCGTCGAGGAATTCCAGCTGCATAACGATCTGTTCGAAAAGTTTCAGAAGAGATCTACTCTCGAAAGAACATCAACGTCCTGCTCGTCTCAGGAACGTGGCAAGAATATCATGGAGGACACAGCACCCTCTACAACTTTCGCAGGAGGAGTCATGGAAGTGAGCGACCACTTGGCGAATGGAGAATTGAGAGATCGAGATGAGGAGCTGCCAGGAGAAGACGTTCTTGAGGAAAATGAAGATGCAATGGAGCAGACTGGAAACGGCTCACGGTCACGCTCACGTGACGACGAGGATGATTATTCCTCTTCCTCCGAGCAGCGATCTTCTAGACCAACAACGCGTCCCAGGACGTATTCCGCACCGTCAGCGCTCAAAGGATCATCTTCCCTGAGTAGTTCTTCTTGTGCTAAACCGGTCTCCTCGCAACAGCAACAGGCGAAGAACCGCAAGGCGCGAGTGCGTTGGAAACTAAAGAAAAAAGCAGATAACTTCCTGTCAAACGGATCGAGCGGCCAGCAATCGCAAAATAACTCTGGCAGTGAACTCTTCGTAGCGCATCAGCGCACGACGGGGTCGGGTTGTTCCAGCGCGACTTCGCGGAGTAGCGGTTCCTTGCTCGGTGGTGTCTCCTTCTCCGCGTCGCAAAAAACATCTTCCAGCACCAGCAGCCGTGATTATAATAACCATGATCCGCTTTATTATTCGTCTTGGGGACCTTCCTCCGCAGCAAGTTTTACCTCTGCGACGTCCACGTCACATTATAGCAAGCGGAGGAGCCGAGGCACGCCGGTGGCCGGGAAGCCCCCGACAGCGAAAGATCCTGCAACTTACGAGGACGAAGATCATATGTGGAAGCCTGTGCGATTGGGCACACCGGGTGCGACCCCGGTAGCAAAGCCGCCTTGCAAAAAGTTGCGTCCCTTCTCTTCACCGAAGGCTACCTGTTCGGACGAAGACGGGGCCGAGTCTCGCCGCCGCCTCATATTGGGCCTCTGCGAGGTCGTGAAAGAGTCGGTAAGGACCCCAAAATCTTGTTCCGATGCGAAGCCCGTTCTGCCCAGATTCTTTCCCCATGAAAATGATGATTGCGCGATGGGTGGTTGTACTTCAACTTCTGGTGCGTGGAATAGACCACGAGGTGACGGCCAGGAGAAGCAGCCGTTTGCCCGAAGCTTTGCGCAAGTGGTGGCTGGGTCGTCGTCCAGAGGGTCAAGAGACCACGCCGGCAGTACCGCCAGCGGTAGTGCTGGGGGCGCGGTGGGAGCACCTCCAGCTGCGGCAGCACACGACCCGAGTTACTCCACATTCTACACAAGCAGTTGCGCACCACAGTACTATGACCAACAACAAGCGTACGGGTACGGCTACGGGTATGACTCTGCGTATTACAGCAATTACCTTCCGAATTTGCAGACGCCAACGCCATTTCGTGCAGCTACAGCGAGCTGCCCGCTGTTGACCGCTGGAACGTACTTTCCCCAGGCCCCGCCTCCGAGCCCGGGAGAGGACTGGGCGGGGAGAGACGAAAGTTGTTCGGGGCCCGGTTCAACACCAGGTGTATCTGTTGCACCGATAACAGAAAATCAAAATATGGAGCTGCCCATCAACGTGCAGGGCTTCCAGCGGCAACGGAGCCCGTGTCTGACCATCGTCACGGACTTGAGCTCGTGCGACGGCTCTCCGGCCTCCGCCGCCGCTTTTCTGTCAAGCCGGTTTCAGGATGTCTCGGCTCGGAGCTCGACGGTGAGGGGACGAGAGCCGCTTGCGGATCTAGCGAGCTGCATGGAAGCAGAAACAGAGGCCGCTGTTGAAAATAATGATTATAGTGGGCCTGTTCAGGAACAGGGGGGCCAGTCAAGTGGTAGCAGGAACAAACAAGCTCCTAACAGCACCCGCGGGCAGTACTATCACACGCAGCGTCCGAAAACGCCCCGCGCCTCGGACCGATTAGTAGATCGCCCCTCTACAGCACCAGGCAGAGCTTCCTCTAGCGGGCGGACGCCGCCGGGACTTTTCACGCCCCTGAGTGCCCAGGCGGAGCCGTTTCGCCCGATGTTGCGCACACCGCTGAATCCCCGAGCGCAACCGTTCAATCCTGCAAGCAGTGCCAGTAGCAGCGTTGCCCCATCTTCCTCTGCGGAGGCGGTAGTAGAGTCGGTAGTAGCTCCTGCGGGAAAAATAAGGGATAAGCCAGTGTCTGCGTCCACCGCCCTTGGACCAGTTGTAAAAAAGCGCGACGACGATGAAATGGAAATGGATGACCATGACGACGCAGTTGGTAGGACAGCTGAAGAAATAGAAGCGAATTCTCATAGTCCAGCTGTTGCTCCACAACTTTCAGTTCCTGCAAGTGGGAACACTTCTACGACATACTCCTATTCCGGATCATTTCCTGGAATGGATGTCGGTGGCTTGTTGGGAACAGGATCGGATCGTGGCTTACCATTGTACCAGTTGCCAACGTCGGACGACGCCATGTTTGTTCCCATGCCAGAATCGAACACGGGATACGCATACGGCGAAAATCAACACTGGTATTGATGTTTCTTGACAGTCCCATCGGGTAAGTGCCTACATACAAAACAAGCTAACTCCTGGACACTACATCATGAGAGAAGCAAAGTATTCACATAGCCTGCACCACGTTTGCGTTTAGCCATTTAGTTTCATCGAAAGCTGCTTCCTGTCTTTCATTGTCAAGCCTTCGCAGGCCAGCACTCAAACGATTTTATTTATTAGATATACCGCACCTGCAGCGTCATGATATGCATATGGCAAGAAAATAAAGAAAAACTACGATAATGTAACTCACTGCTATCGACACAACTGTGAAAATGCACCTGAATTGTACATAAGTACTGCTGCACCTGCAGTCAGCAACAGAGAATATAGCTACTTAATTGCCTGGCAGCGTGAGAACCACAGGATAGCGGCGTATCTAGAAATAGCTCTAGGGGTCGTTAATTACTTGTGGCATCTTTTTCTGCAGGTAGGAAAAGATTTTTTTGCCTTTGCGCAGTTCGAGTTTAAATTTTCTCGTTTTTAGCAAGTCTGCTGTTTCTTTTTGACCTTTGGAACTGTGTTTGGGCCTCGGCTTGATGTCCTGATTGGAATCAATATAGACCTATTTTTTTGTGCCTGCGAAGAGACCAGAAAATCAAAATGTTTAAGAATGGAACGAGTGTAAATATTGTATGTTGCTGTCTTTATGTTGTTTGTCGCGAATAAAGTGATAGTGAAATAGGATTGCCTCCTTGAAGATGCACTTCGTTTGCATCCATTCTTCTTGCGCAAAAAATAAACAAGGACAAGCGCAACGCTTAATAGAACTTTTGCATTTGTTCGGAAATTTGGGCCTGCGCAGCACGCACAGCTCGTTGGTGAAACGGCGGAGCGGAGGGAGAGGCGTGCTCTGATTTATCAGAACTCCCTTGATGTAAAGGTGCATCTACTCAAAGTATGTACTTGGTTGGGCTTGATTTGAGGGTGTGCAGGGCACATCACACGGGCGTTGAGAGAAAGTGGAATAGCACAGAGTGTTGACGGCACGGCAGAACTACATGAAGCTTGTAGTTAATATGGAAATTACAAAAGAGAATCTTTGCTGAGAGTTTGCTAAAGTTTTGTCAGTGAGTCTGAACCTGATGAACTACGGGTGCGGAAAAAAAACAACAAAAATACAAAAGTGAAAGACAACAGAAACAACCAGCAATTAAGAGTCCACAAGTAAAAATCGGTACTATCGGTTGAAGGATCATGGTTGAGGGCGTGAAAAGTCCTGCCGTTGAGGAGGTGGAGGTTCCCCCCGCGGAAGCTGCAGTGGGAGTAGAACCGGATGTAGAGGAGGAAGAGGTAATGGCCGAGCCGGCAGAGGAGGCCGTGGCACCGGAGGGGCCCAAGCTCCCGAAGGTGGAGGACAAGCTGGGGAAAATCAAGTTACCCGGCGTGTTTTTACCAAACAAGGTCAGCGGGCAGTCGCGTGAAGCAGCCTTGAAGTTCAAGCCGTTGGCGTTTGACGCGGTTGAGGTACATCTAGTTTATTGCTATCATTGTACTAGTTTCCGTTTCGCTTTTGTCTGCAGCTTCTTCTGTGCGAAGCTTCATCCTGCAGCTGCTCATGAATTTACTTGTGCAGAAACTGAATTTCCTTCAGTTTCGCCGTCGCGAAGATAAAGCGTATCGCCAATTTTCCGCTTTCTCTTTTGCGGCTCACGAAAAAAGTTTGGGCAAGTTCCAAACAAGTTCTGGGACAAGTTCTCAGACGAGGTCTCAGACAAGGTCGCAGGCATGTTCCGGGGAAGTTCCGAAATGAGTCCCGGGGCAAGTTTCCGAGCAATGGGCCTCCGGGGGAGGTAGGAAGGTTGGTCCGGAACAAGGCCCGGGGCAGGCTCCTGCGCAGGCGCCCCGCGAGCAAGGTGCTCCTCGGGGGTTATTTGCGGAAATAGCTAGCCCCGTCGAGGGGGCCACGAGGGTGGTCCGGGCCTTGTCTTTGTCGGCGAGAGTGCTTCGCATCGTCGAACCGAAGTGCCGGCCTTCGGCACCGCCAGCGAGCCGCCGACGTGCTCTTTGATGGGAGCGCCGCTGTGGTTTGATCCGGTTCGGGGGCCTCGCAACCCTAAAGCGGCCAGAGGGCCACCCCGGGGGTTTTTGGGTTTCTGAAGGAGGGCAGGCTGCGAGGTGTCACGGCATCGGAGGCCGCCTGGGTGTTGGCTCGGCGCAGCCTGCCAAGCCTGCCCCCCTCTCGGCGCCCGGCGTGGATGGGCCGGCCCCAGTCGTCGGGCGGGCCCGCCGAGGATTATCTTGTTGTCATCGCGCGCGCTCCCGAAACGCTTTGTTTTATCGCATTCCAGCAAACGAAGCCGCATGCCATCGTGTAACGCGCGTTACACGATGGCGCTCTCCCTTCATCCTGTCTCCTGCTGCGCTGGTGTGGCATGCTCCCGGCCGTAGACGCGCTGTCTCGCCACAGGGCGACACTCGCTCTCGCGCCCCCCCTCCGGTGCAACACCTCAAAGAAAGGCCTCCCTTCTTGTCGTGCCCACAGCCGCGAGCACGGACGGGGGCTCGGCTGTGGGGAAGCATGCTGCATCGTGCTCGTCTTCGGCTGATGTGCAAGCGTGTTGCCGTAGCGCTTGGCCGTCGCTTAGGTGGTTCGTCTTGGTGGGCTGCTGTCTCGCACCAACGTGCAGCCGGCATCCACTTGAGCAGTATAGACCGGCGGAAGGTTGGGCCCTCGTTGCCTGGAACCCCGGCGCCCTCTTGTATTGCCCCAACCGGAAACCGGCCCGACAAGTTCTGCGCAAGTTCTGGGCAAGTTCGGCACCCCATACATCTAGACCCATGCTTTCGGAGTAAAGAAACTGAATTTCCTTCAGTTTCGCCGTCGCGAAGATAAAGCGTATCGCCGCTACTCCCACAGGTGATTCCTGGTCACAAGATACAACCCACCTTGGGCAAGGCTGCCGCTCCAGCAGTAGAAGGGGAACAAGTAGATGACGCGGTCATGGAAGGCGAGGTGGCGCCAGTGGAGGGCGAGCTGCCAGAGGAGGGTGCAGAGCCAAAGGAGCCAACAGACGGAGAAGAGAAGCCAGTTGAGGAGGAGCCAGCGGTGGAAGAGGACAACACCGCCAAGCGAGTATCGGGCCTGCTCGAGAATTTCGGCATCAAAAAGATAGCGGCCCCCGGAACGGTTGGCGAGGGCGGGGTGGTATGATAGTTCCTGCTTCATTTCTAGTATGATAGTGTAGCTCGTCGTAGTTTTCCAGACTTGCTTCTACTGCGATTGCATGACGTTGAAGAAGACGACCCGCATAACAAACAACATAGAGGATGCTTCTACTGCGACAGACATGTATTCGAAGCTCTCGTCTGCCACCAACACGAACACCAAGCAGCTACAACTTACAAAATGCTACTAACTCCTCTAGGCCGCGGAGATGCCGAATTTGATTTCGGCCGCGTTAGAAAACCCGTTGATCCAACCGGTACAGCTGAACAAGGTGGAAGTTCCGGCGGTAGCGCAGGCGACGGCTATGAAGTGTAAAAATGTCTGGGTCTGGAAGAATGCAACTTGTGATGCGCATTTCAGAACACACAAAAATCTCTCATGCATAGATAGCAAAAGCTGCTCACTTTCTGCCACCAAAATGGGGGATTTGTGATGCGGGTTCGGCATTGCGGAAGCTTCTCGAAACCTGTGATGCTAGAGCTTCCATGACAGACCTTCTGTGTCATGCAGAAACAGCATGACTCTTCCAGACCCAGACATTTTTACAGTTGATAACAGCGGGTAAGCCACCCCGACCACCGAGGTTTGGCCAGATGTCCCAGTTGCCGTTCAATCAGATGCCCAAGCCAAAGCTGTCCCAGTTCGCGGGTTCCGCGGGCACGCCGCTGACCGCCGAAAAGTCCTCGGCAGCCGCGAAGCTGATGCGGGCGGGTGTGGGAAAGGTCGGGTACAGCTTTGGAAAGCTCCTGTCCGCACCGGGCACGCCGGCCGGCGGGCCCGCGGTAGTGGCCTCACCGTTCACGACCATCGGCGGACCCGGGTTCGGCCTACCGAAAACCGCGTTCAAGCCCATGCTGGGTGCCGGCCTGACCCCGGCCAACACGGAGAACCTGGTGAAGCACGTTAGCGTCAACAGCGATAGTATCAAATGCAAATATGTCTGGGTCTGGAAGGTCGCAACTTGTGATGCTATTTTTGGATTCTAAAAAAGACTGTGTTGCATGACAAGGAGCAATAGGATCCCAGTTTGTGCTATGCGGGGGCGAGTGTATTTCTCATGCGGAATAGGCATCAGGACGCCATGGCAAAATCTGTGATGCTAGGTTATGCATTACAGGCATCATGGGTCATGCAAAATATGCATGCCATTCCTTTCCAGACCCAGACATATTTGCATTTGATAGATAGTCTCTTGACGCAGTTTAACTTCGACGGGGACTTTCGTTTGGACGACAAGCCGGTCTTCATCGACTGCTACGAAAGTGTGGATGACGGAACTTCTCTGTGGGACGCAGGTACAGATAAATTCGAGGACGCACAAGTTTATACATAGCACTATTATCGATGCATAGATCTTCTAGTGCCACTTTTGCAATGTCGCTCTTGCGGTTGCGACTACTTTCATATCGCTCGTGGTTTCCGTTCTGCCACTTTAAAAATATCGCTTTGTCAGGTATCGTTCTGGGTCAATATCTCGCTGCCTTCAAGGACCTGTACCAGGGCGACTGCTTAGAATTGGGCTGCGGCACCGGCATTGCGGGAATCTGCCGCGCAGTCACGTGCCCGGACACGAAAGTTATCTTGTCCGACTACGAGACCATTGTGCATGTCACAGACAATAATGTCGCGCTCAACCAATTGCAGGACCAAGTCACTGTGATGGTAAAGACGAGTAAGTTGGAAGATTTTTCTCTTGTAGCGCTAAGTGGATTACTTTGGCTCTTTCATTCTAAATTCCAGTTCAGGCACGCAGTTGTAAGTAACAATTGATTGATTTTACAGAATTATGTGAAGATAATAGCTCTAGGTGGCACGAAACAAATCATGAATTTCAACACCACAACAAAACCACAAATAAATACAGCCCTACGACTGGGAGCAAGAGTTTCCGATTCCGCTCGAAGAGGGAGGAAACTTTCCGTATTCCTTCGTGATTGCATCCGACGTTATGTGGCACCCCACCCATGTGGCTCCGTTCTTTCAGGGCCTCTTGAAGTGCACCACGGCGGGAATGAAAGTATGAATCGAGGATTTTTATTTTTTTCCTCACTTACTTCTTCGCAATGCCAATGCGAATGCATTGCATCATGAACAACGAGGATGAACTCGATCAACAGCGTCAACCTGGTAGCTACTATTCTTGAGTTTCTAGCCTACTTGTACAAACGGATTACACGACGTCCCCGCATCAATATCCCACAGAAAAAAGCTGGCAGGTCATATTTGTAATGCAAAAATAAACACACAAAAAAATCTGTATTGCATATCCGAAGAAGCATGCTATGGGGCCGCCCATGACAAGTCTTTCTGTGTATTTATTTTCGCATTACAAATATGCCCTGCCAGCTCTTTTCTCTGGGATAATCAACATGAAAAACATAAAAGGTGGTTCTTGGTCAGTGCTCGCGGGCGGGTTTGGATTTGTACCCAGATATCCAGTATCCAATGCAAATATGTCTGGGTCTGGAAACTTGTGATGCTGGGTGGCGTATCATGAGGAGGCCACAAGAGCTGGCTCAGCATGACAAGTTTCTGAGCAAGCTGCTAGGTGTTGCCTATTCTGAATGACAAACTGCGTTTCTGCACGACAGAAAAATGGCGCTCTTGGGTAACGTGCATGGCAGATTTGAGAGTCTGAGTCATGCCAGACAAGCATGCATTCTTCCAGACCCAGACCTGTTTTCGCTTGACATCCAGGCGGAAGCGGAGGCCACTGGTTTTGAGGTCGAGAGTACGACGCCGTCGATGGAGATGGAGTTGCCCTTCCGCGGCCACAGCCAGTGCTCCATCTGGGTGCTGACGCGTCTCGAAAAGCCCGTGTCCGCTGCCCCTACCCCTGCGGAGCAGTAACGGAAAATGTAGTAATGATCATGGAAAATCATGGCAGCTCTCCGGCGCATGATGAGTATGAGAGACTTCTTCTAACAGGGCGGAGGACGGGTGAGGAAAGTGCGCACCAGGTAGTTGCAAATCGTGTTTCTGTAATTTGTTTGGAGTTCATCACTTTTATGCGTAAAATTATACCGGTTGAAAGAACAAACGGCAAAGCAATACGCAAAGAAGGAACACACCGCCACCACTAATGATTTTATTGAAAGGAGATCGAGATTTATTTGTACTGGCTGCCAATGATCTTGATCTGTCTGTCACCACCTTGCCTTCTACAGACACTCATGATTGTCTGCCGACTCGTATAGGATTTTCCACAGCTTGCCCCGAGATGCGCGGCGCTTACGTCGATGTGACTCGCCAGTTTCATTTTCACTTTTTCAATACCGAACCGAAGAACAATCATAGCGATGTTTCTTGCAACGGTCCGACTTTTTCATTTTTTTCCATCTATTCAAGCAAAAACTACCGCTAAAACTCACATCCCTATACTACAAATAAGGCAAACAGGATTACAACAATCACGAGGTTTATTACGATCGAAAGCACGCAGTAAGACTGACACAAATGGGTGAAATAAAGCACAAGATAATGGATGCGTACGTGTCAATATGAAAAAGAGTTTTTGTAAGGACGAGCTCTTTCTTTGCAAGTCGAAAGCTAAATAGTGGTCTAACCACGGCGTCGAATGAAAATGCATATAGAAAGAGCAGGCCATCATGTCGCTGCAAAAAGTGTGAGGATATTGCATGATTTCAATGCTACGACGAAAGGTATAATTAGAATTACTTACAATTACTACAAGAAGACTGGAACAAAATCATATTGCTTAGTGCACCCGGCGCGGCTAGTCCTCCTCATCGTCCAAAAGGAAAAGAACGATGATATGAGGCGGCTTAGTAGGAATCGTCAGACAAGCATCTTCGTAACAGTCCTCGTTCACAACCAGCGGATGCTGCGGCCTACTTCGCATTTAATGTAAAGAAACTAAAACCGAATTCATCGATCATCTTGAACCTGAGCAACTAGAATCAAGGTAGGAACTGTGCGCTCCTGGTGCCTCTTTGAAGCAGTACAACTTGTTCGTCAACGGCATAAAAATTGAAGTATCCAGTATTACTCCATTTTTGTCGAAGAAGATGCATGACGAGAGATGTAGAGCTTCAGGTTCAGCGTGACGAAGATCAGTCGATCGAGAGAGGAGAGTCTCGCATCAGGACAAGTAGTGCAACTGTGTGCGACGTCGAGAGTATTTCACCATCGTATACGTATTGACTCTGTCGTCACTCGCAGCACGACACAGAAAGTAATCTCCAGGCGAACTAAGTACAAGGAAATCGAAAGCATGATCGTTTGTCGTCTTCATCACTACAGGACCCATTTCCACTTTTATTGATCTTTGGATTTTCTTCTACGTCCTTTACATATGCAGAGCAGAAATTTAGCACGACAAGCACCTCCATAAAGAAGTATTCGATATAACTAGAAGCCAGTTCTTTCCCGCCCAACTCGATCCACTCCCCCACCGAAGGAATTCGAAACTGAGATATTTGCAACGTTTAAAGCACCTCTCGCTCTCCAACAGGAGCAGGACGAGCACAACCCCGACCCGCTACACAGAATGTGAAGAACTTGAAATCACGGCAGTTGTTGCAGATGGGCTCTACTTCTATACTACTGCTCTTTGTTGATGTCGATGTGGTCTTCGCTCTTCGCCTGAAGAATCTCGTTTACCACGGTTCATCTGAAGATTGAGGCCCCATGATCTTCAACATGCTGCGGGCGCTGTTGTGGCTCGAGGGGACTACACGGATCCTGGTACACGTTCATGCTCAAGAAGATGCTGGTACCACCGCCCCTCCCACCACCGCGGCAACCACCCCCGAGCCGCCGACGACGGCTCCGGGCACGACTACCCACCCTCCATTTCCCCCCGTGTTAAACCCCTGGCCACCAAAGCCGGCGCCATCCGCCGCGGGTGTGAACACCTGGCCCGCAACGCAGCCATGGCTGCACACGGTCCCGAAGTACGACATCATAGCCATAAGCTTCAACGACGACGCGTGCTGGACTGTGAGCACGGTAAATGCTTATCAAGTGTAAAAATGTCTGGGTCTGGGAACTTGTGATGCTGGTTGGCTTATCATGAGGCGGCCACAAGTGCTGGCTCAGCATGACAAGTTTCTGAGCTCCTAGGTGTTGCCTATTCTGCATGACAAACTGCGCTTCTGCATCACAGAAAAACGGAGCTCTTGGGTAACGTGCATGACAGATTTACATTTAAGAGTCATGCCAGACAAGCATGACAAACGTGAATTCTTCCAGACCCAGACACTTTTGCATTTGATAATGCTACCGTAAATACAACAACTCTGCGAAGTCTACAACTCGGGGACACCACCTCCGATCAAGTCACACTACCAGAGCGACCACTTCCAACAACTGGTGTCACTGCTTCTGAAAAAAGTAGCGAAGAACTGGATGCCAATGCAGAGCTTCTCCACTCGAGTCGCCAGCTGCACCCGTTGGCGCAACAGATGGCGAAACAGCTTCGCCCGCCTTTGGGGCAGAGCGAATTCGAACGGGCACAAGCCCTGAGCAACGGCAAATGTTCGCGGCTTGACGAACCGGGCTGCGAAGAGCTTTTCGAGAAAAAGAAAGTCACCAACATTTTGGCCGAACATGAACAGCAGAATCTTCCCGGCGCCTCTGGGACGGTAACTACATCAAACCCGTTTATTAAAGAAGATTCCCACCGCCGACAACTTCTCACACTTCACCAAAACGTGGCGAAACTCGCCGACTGCAAGCATTTGTGTTACCAGGCGGGCATGAAGCAGTGCCGCTCTATCACCTACGATCCGGTCACGAAAGACTGCACGCTGTACACGCTGAAGGACCAGGGGGAGCTGAACAGCTACTGCTACTGCGACGGCTTCCTCGGCTGGGACGCCCAGTACGCCGAGTACGTGCTCGGCGCGAGTTCCTACTCCTGGCGGCTGGCCCGGGGCCGGAAGCTGGACGGCGAGTGCCGGCCGGAGCGGTGCGCGGTGAAGGATATGGATCCCGGGAAGAAGTGGATTTTCCGCGTGCGGTTCTACTGCGAGCAGGAAAACCCGCTGATATCTTCCTGGTCGCCGACCAGCGAGATCATCCGGAGTATGAACCTGCCGCCCCCGGGCGGCGCGATCATCTCCTCCGCCGCCACGGGCGCGAACGTGCTGGGCGACCTGAACTTGTGGATGCGCACCGAGATGGGTTTGGCGACCCGGGCCGAGGAGATCGCGGCCAAGATGCAGAAGGTGACGCTGATCACCCGCCCGGACGGCAGCGTGATCCGGCAGATGAGTCCGTTCTACTACGACCTGGAGGCGGTGATGCGGACGCACGTGTTTCACCTGCGCGCCTACGTGCTGGAGATGACCGTGGAGAACGTGGTCACGGGCACCGGGCTCGCGGGGGGACTGGACCTGCAGGACATGATGACGCTGGATTCCAACACCATTCTGAATCTCGTGTCCGGCGGGGATGAAATCAACTTGTCCCACGGGTATCTTGCCGTGCGCGTCACCTTCGAGGTCATCGGGGGCATTTCCTTCATCGAGGTGGAGCAAACCGAGCAGCTCATCCGGTCGCACCTGCACGCGTTGATCTGGACCCGCGAGGGGATGGTGCCGTTGGAAGTCACCCTGGTAGTGCCACAGCTGGAGGCGGCGGCGCAGACGCTGACGACGACCATAGATCCGACCATTCGGGACTCCGTTCTCGCGCTGGGACAGGTATTAGTACGTATGTAAAACAGGACGATATCCACTTCACCGCCTTTATCTTTATATGCATTTGGATTTGCGGCTTGTGCTCGTCCTTCTTCGTTGCTTTGATCATGCCAGCAGTGTGAAAAACCGCAGTTTAGCAACCCATTTCAAACCTTCACTCAACATCAACACATACTACACAGAGCTTCGACGAGGACGATATGCACGCCCAGACCATGCTGACGATCATTCTGTTTCTGGTTTTTCTCTTTCTTCTCCTTTACATGATTTCGGCGTTTGTGTACTACCAGATCTTCATCGTGAACCCCTCCATGGATGCCGCGTCCGTGCTCCCGTGGCAGTTCTTTTTCTGTCCCTGCAACCGCGTGCCGCACAACCACTTTCTGCTGGCGAAAAACCAGCGGCAGGAGCGGGGCTACTGGTTCTTCTGGCTGCGGTACCACTGCAGCTGTCTGTGCTGTCCGTGTTTCGGCCCCGCGTTCCTGCAGATGTTCTTCACTTTGCAGATCGACACCTACAGCGAGGCGGGTCTGATGCCCGAGCGGCAGAGCGGCTACGCCTACCCGGGGCTGGTGATGCGGTGGAGCACCATGCTGCGGCGGAAGCGGCTGCGCCCGATCTTCAAGCCGGGGGAGGACGGGGAGCTATCACGAGAAAAAAGTGTTGCAGTTACACATTTGTTGGAGTTTCTGCATCACAAATTTTCTCTGTGTTGCCGAGAAAACTTGTAATGCGAAGATCATAAGGGAAAACAGGAAGGAAACGAGGCTCCGAAGCATTTCCTGCATGAGAAAGGTTGTTCCTGTTGCCAGTCTTGCATGACAGTGTGTAACTGTAACGCTTTTTTCTTGCGATAGGAGCCCGACAGCATCGAGTACCAGGTGGCGCTATCAACTGTAAAAATGTCTGGGTCTGGAAGATTCTGACACTTGTCATGCACGTTTTGCATGAGCCCTGATGTCTGTGATGCATGCCCTAGCATCACAGATTTTTTGAGAGCTTCCTGATGCCTATTCCGCATGACAAATGCTCTCTCCACGTAGCAAAAATTACATTCCGTTTGGTACTCATGCAATACAGATTGTTCTGGAATCCAAATGCAGCATCACAAGTTGCATTCTTCCAGACCCAGACATTTTTACATTTGATAGGCGCCGCCGCCGCAGCGCATCAAGGACCTGGTGCCCCCGCCCCCGGACCTCCCGGAGCGGGGCGACGCGACCAACGGCTTCTTGTATTTTGTGCAGGTGATCCGGACTTACACGTGGGCGGACTACAAGCAGTGGCTGCGGCACCTGGCGCACGTGGTGCTCTTTCTCCCCTGGGTCTGCGGCGAGTACGACTACACCGAGCGCGTGAACCGCATGACCGTGATTGTGAAGACGGAGCAGCAAAAACGGGAAAAGGAGTTGGAGGTCACGCAGAAAGCCGTCAAAGAAGACACGATGAAGGCCGCTGCGACCATGTTTTTGGAAAACGCCATGATGTCGCCCAAGAGCAAGACGAAGAAGGACAGATCGAAAGTTGCGCCCGCGTTGGAGGATCAAGGGGACAGCCTCCCGCACGCCATCGAAGACACCCGGGGGCAGCAAATCGTCACGCACGAGGGACCTTTGGGTATGTTGTTGTGGAGATTGTTGTATCTGTTTGGAATGAGGACTAGTTGTATCTGTTTGGTATTCTAGTCGCGTCATCACGAGCACGCCATAGAAGTTTGCCGAGTTTCGAGATTCAATAAAGCGCTTTAGTTGTCAATCTGATATAGAGCACAAAAGAAATTCAAATTCCCATACAACAGCCATCCAAGACTCTATGGATCTGGAGTCCTTGTCAACCGGTAAAACGAGTTCCCTCTCCAAGGAGGACCTGCTTATCGTGAAGAAGGCCAAACAGGCCCAGTTCGGGCGGCGCTGGCTGTTGTTTGCGGACCCGCGGACGAAGCAACTCTACTGGCACAACCGCGACACCAAGGTACAGGTGAAGGTGGAGGGAAAGTACACCAAGAACTTGCGCCTGGTCGCCCCCTGGGAGCAAGACCTTGAGGAGGTGAAGGAGGAGAACGAAGAAGAGGAGGAGTCCGACGAGGAAGCAGGTAGTTCCGACCAGGACGAGGGTATGATGTCGCACCATTCGTCCCAGCCGGCCGGCAGCGGGAGTGGGACCCCGCCAGAGCCGGCATTCATGACGGAAGAGGGGGAGCACAATCTGTACGCCCCCTGGTCTTCCTCCTCGTCTGCGGCGTCGTCCTCGAGAGGTCGTGGGATAGAAGTATCTTCACACAATCAGGCCGCGACGCCGTCTGATGTGCAGCCGCTCGTTTCCCCGGTGCAGCAGCAGATGATGGGCCCTTCTTCATCTAGCTCCTCAGGTGGAAGTAATACCGGTAACTGATCTGCAACGGCCTGAAAGCAGCTGCCTGTTGCCGCAGAGAATGCAGCAGAAACTGCCCGGCTGCAGGCGGGGTGGCGACGAACCATGGGTAGGTAAAATTGCGGCAATTTGTCGTGCCTACGTTTCTTGCCTACAAGGAGTGTTCTTGCAACTAGACTGCAGTGAGGACGGCGGAATGGGACGGCGGCGAGCTGCAGCGCAAGCGACGGAACACGGAAGTGGAAGCGGAACGCCCTCGGTTTATACGGACCACACGACTACGACACACACGAATAAGATCGAGGAAGTTCATGCAGTTCGAAGTGGACGAGGTGCAATGCTGGAGTCGATGTACTTTGCATCATGCTTTGCTGGTGCATCCAGCACATTCTTTCCATAGAGCTGGCGCAGCGGCGCAGCTCTGACAAAACACTTCACTGTGGGATGGAGCAACATGGCAGGCTCAATACACTTCAGAACTGTCGTGCCACAGCGGAACAGAAGGTGTTGCTGTATGCAATGCCTTACAACACAAGGGTCTGCCCCGGTAGCCCTTGCGATCCAAGCACTTCTTTTTTACCCGCCGGGTTGTTCATCTCGGTGTGTTCGTTGTATTCCGTTTTGGTTTATCATCTGCTTCCGCTCAAGGCATTGTTTTTTCCTCTCTCAACGAGAAAGAGGAACCGGAAGACAAAAGCTGCGTCCAGACGCGATGGAGAAGTTCTTCAAGCTTGTTGCTTGCATTTCGGTCTGGTTTTGGTTTTGGTTTTGGAGTATCAATCAATTCGGAGTAGATACTGAGACAGAAACGACGGAACGCGTTTTTCTTTTTTCGTGCGACGAGCGATCAGAGAAGTTGTGAACGGTTTATTCTGTGAAGAGCACCAAAACAAGACAAAGTTTTTAAGCGGCCTCTTTCGACTCGTGCAGGATTCAATAGAGCAACAAGATGCAGTGATGCCAATCACCTCCCGTCGAAGATATCTAGTGCTTAGGCTTACTTGATTCATTGTCCATTCTCAAAGCAGGCAGCATATTAATCGACCCAGGGTATCATTCGGAAAATCGTCCTCTTCAGTAATAGACGAACCTACTATTGTGTTCGCAGTAAAGGCATTCGTCATTCGCAAAAATGGAGCAAGGCTCAGTCGCCCGATCCGCTTCCTCGGGCAGTTTGCTTGGGCGGAAGCTTCCCAGCCCACGCCGGCGTGTAGTGAGGACGCCAGCTGCAGCGGGGAATGATCATGCGGATCAACCTGCCTTCCGTGCTGCTCGAAATAACGGAAGCCCGTCTACTCCGTCCGCTGGCCTACTTGAACAGCACAACCATGAAGAGGGAGAATCGAAAGCCGACGTCCTTGCGGAAATACAGCGTATGCGGCAAGAGTTGGCAATGATTGCTCTGCGCAAACGTCGCATAAAATCGGACAGCGTACTAAGTTCGGTAATAATTTTCAATTCATCAGTCTCACGTCTGTACTTTGCTGCGTTTGTATGCATCAAGTAGTTAGATGAATTACTATTACACATACAAACGATGTCTACTTAGGTTTTCCTCAGCATCTTCAGCAACAGAGCGAATTTTCAACATTTTTTCATCTTCACCACAGGGCGGCACGAGCACAGGCAACGAGGTTTCATCTCGGAGTTGTGCGCTTCAACAACTACAAAGAAGGCGGACCGCCTCGCAGCAGAGCTTTGGCAGCACATCGACGAATGGCATTTTGCGGAAAGCAACGTCTCCGCCACGGGAAAACAAAGCTGCCCACGTGCTGTTCGATGATGAAGCGGCGATTGTGCGAACCTTCCTGGACACCCCCACGAAAATGGGGACGTCGTACAAGAACCACGAAGGTCCTCGTGCAAGGAGCAGTAACTCGCCTTCAGAGGGTTTCCCCCGCCTGCACGAAAAACAGCGCCGCATTGTCAGCAACAGTACCGTTGTCAGCACACAGGTCCCGGCGGAAAGTCCCTGGCAGCGGGAACACGATGCTGGGGCGATAACCCCGCTCGAAAACAACACGCCAGTGGACGAGAATTTCTACGATCGACAGAATTTTTCCTATAACCCACCACGACGCGACGCTTTTTCTTCGACGAGCCACGCGGTGCTGCCGACGTCCACTGCGTCATCAAGAGGATCGACATCTTCGCGTAGGCATCACTACAATTCGCGGCTGCGTGGAGATGGACGCCGACCCCCATCAGGCATGCAGGTTCATCGCCCTGCGTCGAGCTCGAGTCAGAGCTACCAGCGCCTACCGCCGCCTGTGCTGGTGGAGCGGCACGAGAGAAGGAGGTCGGCGTTTCTGCCTGGTAGAAAAGAAAATGCTGATGATCCTGATCAAGTGGCAGGCAGCGACGCAGTTGAAGAAGATCCCGACGAGCCGCACCGCACGAAGAGCGCCTCCTTGTTTCAGCGTCTGAAGGAGCTCGAGCATCGGAATCTAGTCCTGCAAAAAGAGCAGCAGGCAACTTTGATCGACCTGCAAAGTGCGGCGCTGCAGTCCTGTTTGACGCCGAACAAGACCGGTAATAGTGGTGCTAATCCTGAGTCAGCGATGATGTTTTCGCATGGTGCTTCTGATCATGACGCAGCGGCAATATCGACTGGAGAAGCACAAGCTCAAGCAGAACATATGCAGCGCGCTCAGGCTTTCGATCCGCAGGAACAAGAGCCTTGCCAAAAACCGGCAGGAGAGAGTCGCTTCCCAACAGTTTTCGATCACGCCGATCCTGCTAGACTTGGGACGACAGTCGACGATGACGTCATCAAGGTGATATACACCGAGGAAGAGTTTTTCCGGCCACTTTCCGAGCGCTTGACCGGGGCCGCGCCGTCTGTGGCTGCAGCGGCGCGCACGACCTTTCTTCCCAGTCCCAGTACCACAACTTCAACCGCAGAGCCTAGCAAGTCACTGGCACCTGTGGGTAGTGTAGCAACGGCGGAGACGAGAGAGGAGCCTCAGGTGTGATGTCATCTTTCTTCTAGAAGTACGTAATAAAAACTTTCTTTTCGAATTCGAGCGCCAGCGCCCTTTGATTTGATTTATCGGCCCTTTTCGTTTTCATTTCCGCTTTGAGATGCATGAGCACCATGATATATGATTTTCATCTGCGCGTTACATTTTTCATTTTCTCCAGGGCAATCATCTTGGCGGGGTGATCGACCGGATTGAAGCGCTCGTGAACCGCTTGCAGAACAAGAAAAGCGGCCTGGTGCGCGTCCAATCGTGCGAAGAGGTAGAGCGCGTGAAGCCTGTACCCATGCGCGAGCCTAGTCCTGTCACAACTGCTTGCTTTGCCCCCGCCGGGCGGATGATCTCCCTGGACGAGGGAAGTTGTGGGCGACAAGAAGGGCAGGAACAGAGTCCAGAAATGAAGCAGCCATGCGGGGGTCATGATGATGAGCCGGACGATTTGCTCGGATTGATAAACGACGAGTCCACGTTCATTGTGGACCAGATGGGTGCAGCAGCTGCAGGCCAACCGCCGGGAAACGAGCGGGAGGATGTTGGACTTGATGATCATCTTCAAGAGCAAGTAGACCCAACGCGAACGCCCGCACATGTTGAGATGATGCCTCCGGGCAACAAACCGGCGGCGGCGGTAGCGAGCAGGGGAAAGTCGCCACCTCCTGGAAATAAAACGAAAAATCCATTTGTCGGGATTGCACAAGCGAATTACGCGACAACGCAGACAGACAACAATCGCGGCAAGCAGGAACAACTACAGAATTCGCGAGGAAAAGCCGAACGACCAGAGGAGGAGCCGCCGCTTCTGCGCGGCCCTTTCTCTTTCTCGTCATCGCGGTCTTCGGGCGAAGGTGTTCTTCCGGAGTCGAGTGGGCACCAGCACGCTAATCCGAACACCAGCAACATGTTGATAAACGAGACGGACCTGTTCGACCTGACTGCGACAATTTCCAACTCTCAACTTAATCTTGTCGACGTCAATGAACCATCGGGAGTTGTAAACAGTGAGGGCGCTAGGGCTAGTTTTTGTAGTTTCCGACCCGGTGGAGCTGGTCCTGGTGTGCCCGGAGATAGACGCGCAACTGCAGAGGTACAACGAGCACAAGATCCGCTTCGTGAAGTAGCAGTAGGGCATCAGGATGCCGCTACGGGAGCACGAAGAACCGCAGCACGAATGGCGGAGCAGGAGATCCAGCATCAAGCGCCAGTGGTACCGACTCCGCAGAGGACCGCCATTCCCGACCAAGGAGTGCTGGAACAACAACACGATTTTCCAGATGGGTCGTTCGCACCGGATCCCTCTGAACAAACCGTCCAGCGAAATAAAAACCCCCAGGCGCCTGCTGCAGATGAACCGCCGCCAGGCACCACAGATCGTTCGTTTGTCCAGCAGGGGGACGCGGACAATCATCAAGCTCGCGGTCGCACTCGCACTACCTCCTCGAACATGTTGAGCCCCACTACATCACGGCGGCTGCAGACCAGGCCTTTGAGTTGTCCGCAGTTGCGGAGTCCGGGGTTCCGCGAAAACATGCAGACTTTGGCATCGAAGGGCTTGACGCCGCCTCCCGGAGTGGGTCCGGTGATCGTCAAAACAGAGCCTTCGATTGTTTCGCTTGGTGGAGCTGCTGGTGCTAGTACCACAACCGCCACATCGGAAGCGGTACTACATCGGCACATGACAGTAAACTACGACCAGATGAGTAATTCTATAGGGACCACAGAAGCTGCCAAGGCGGCCATGCATCAAGCCACGGTGCAGCAGCGCACCCCTTCGTGCCCAGTCGTGCAGTACGCGAGTGTCCTGCCCAGTTGCGTGGAGCAAATGCGTCTCTTGGTCCCGAAGCCACAGACGCCGTCACTCGTGCCCTCTCCAACTCCACAGCGTGTGTTTCCAGCGGCCGTGCCGGAACGATCCCTTCTTAGTGGACCGTCTGCGCCGAACCTCCCACAACTGGATAGAGCTGTATCGCTCCCGCGGTTCTCATCTCCGCCGGCACACTCGACACAACTGGTGGAAGCGGTTCCTAGCACGACGACGCGGCAGATCATACGTCAAGCGTCGCGGCCACAAGCTCCAGAACAGCACGAACAGAAGACGATTGTTCTGAGTTACTTTCCACCTGCTCCTGGTAGGGACGACGAGCTCCAAAAGCAAGCAAGGAAAATAAATACTGCTGCCAAGAGCTCCTCGTCACAAAGCGCCAAACAAGACTGGGCAGCGGTGGCAAATCTTCGCAGTGGCGGGACCAACTCCAAGCCAGTGCGCGCGACGAACCGCGACGTGGAGAAGATGGTGAAGATGAAGATCATATGAATTGCAAAAATATCTGGGTCTGGAAGATTGCAACTTGTCATCGTAAATCTGAAGCATGCAAAAATCTGTGTTGCATGAGTGCCAAAAGCTGTCCACTTTTGATCAAGTTGGAACGGAGTTTCTCATGCAGAATAGGCATGGCAGAGACCTCGCAGAGTCTGTCATGCTAAGTCCCGCATTCCAGACCTCATGGGTCATGGAAAATCTGCATGACAAGTCTACACTCTTCCAGACCCATATATTTTTGCACTTGATAGATCAAAGTCTGGCAGCCGGAGTCGTCGCCGAGCGGATGCTCCGGCTCGCTTTCGCCCCGTCGCCGCGCTCTGGAATGCGGGAACATGGGCATTCTGCGGAGTCCGAAGTCTTCAACGCGCCACATCACTTCCTCATCTCCGTTCGGGCCTGCAGCTTCTGCGGGGTCAGCGGCCGCAGAAGCCTCGTCTTCTTGCACTCGCAAAATATGTACCCTGTCGCCGCTCGTCGGGAAAGAGGTTGTAACAAGTGCTGGGACGAGCAGAAGGAGCACGCCCGTGCAGCGACCTTCACGGTTCTCCTCCCCAGCGTCGCAGCCGGTTAAACCACAGGCAAACACGACTAACGGGATAGAAATTAGGGACCAGCCGCCTCATGTCGAAAAGAAGGAGGAAAACAACATGAGCAGTGGCAGTGCTCGAGGACCTGCTGTGTCGATGGCGGAGAGAGCGAAGAGCCGCGTGCTCGCTCGGTCAAACTCCACCGCGTCGCTCCACGGCCCGGTGTCCTTTTCCAACCGACCCGTTTCGCACGCCGCCACGCCGACAGCGCAAAACCGCCAGCGCGGTGGAGGTACTAACGTCGAGGAGTGCTCATTCAGTGAGTCGCTTCGGTGGGATGACCAACGAAAAATATACCACCTCGTGGAAAACAATTGATGAAAACTCCTGCAGTGACGCAAGAACAAACTCAACGTGGTATGTGCACATCTGTGTTGCTGGTGCATCCCTTTCAGTACAGTAAATAAAGAATCGATATCGAAAGAACAAGAATCACAATCTTCAGGCCAAGGCTTGTAAAGATGCTCGGGCGCCGCAGAAGATACCGCGATCGCGTGCTCCTATGAATTACAACCGCTTTTTTTGACTTGCTTGTGTCTGGTGCGCTTTTAGATTTAGTTTTTTTACTTTCTATTTGGGTTATCTCGGAGAAAGACAAAGAACCGTTTGTGTCTCATGTCTGTGGTTTTTTTGTGCCGCTTTTTTGCTGCTGCATGACAACGAGGAGAGAAGAGCGGAAAATCTCACGTTTTTTCCTGTTCTTTTACGCAGGCTGCTGATAAAAAAGACATATACTCGAAAGAACTATGAGAATGCCAAAACTGGAAGAAATGCAAATCGACAAAACTAAATCCACAACCGCAATGCTCACAGGAAGACAAGGTACTTGTGTCTGCTTCTTTCTTTTCGTCACCGCAAACAAAGACGGATTTTCAGGCCTGAAAAGGGCAGGTTACTCTTGGGACGAGGGGTCATCTCAGTCTCACAGACACTTTCACCAAGGAAACAAACCATTTTCAAAACTAGGTGCAGGACATTTTTGCATCTCAATTATTATACCTCGAATCAAAATGCTCACGTCATCGGCAATTCGCAGGACCACATCCTCTAGAACTCCTTCGGCAGCGGTCTACAACTTTGGGACGAGAGCGGCATTCGGGGCTCTTTCCGGTGCGGCGACGAAAAACCCGCGACCGTTGACTTTTGCAACCACTGCATTCCTGCCGCCGCATCGCACAAGAATCTCATTTGAAAGAACCCTTTCAAATGTCACTTACACAAGAACATTCCACCGAAGACCCTTCGCGTCGACGCCTACGATTGTCCACAATGGCAACACCACTGCAGGCAACGCCGAGCAACAGCGCACGAAGTTGAAGGATCTTGCCGCAGCAGCTGCGGGCAGCGCTGCAGCGTCGGCGCGACCTAGTACTTGTTCACCCGACCCCACCGCACAGAACCAGACCGTTAGTGTAACCGTCAGTACTAACGCGAACGCGCTGTCCTCCGACGGTGTTGGAAGCAACTCGGAGTCGGACGTGGTCCTGTCGTCGCAAGATCCAAAAAAGCTTCCGGGGAACAACAATGGCGAAGATGGTCATCACAGCGATACTAGGCCGGCTGCACCAAAAGTAGTAAACGTCACCTCGGCCGACAAGCGGAAGTTGTTCGTGTCCAGTGCGGTTCCCATGATCGGTTTCGGGTTCATGGACAACATGGTCATGATCCAGGCCGGCGACCTGATCGACAACACGATTGGCGTCCACCTCGGGCTCGCCACCCTCACGGCGGCGGCCTGCGGGCAGGTATTCAGTGACGTCAGTGGGGTGTGCTTTGGGGGCGTCGTGGACAATCTGTGCGCCAAGCTCGGGCTGCCCGTCGCGGACCTCACGACCGAGCAACGCCAGCTGCCCGACGCGAAACGGTGCGTGACCTTTGGCAGCGTGTGCGGCGTCATTGTGGGGTGCTGTCTGGGCATGACCAGCCTGCTGTTCATGGACCTGGACGCCGCGGACCGCGCAAAAAAGCAGCAAGAGCTCGACACCATTTTCCGCACCGTCATTGTCGAGGGATCGGAAACGCTGGGGGCGGAGCGGTATATTGAGGCTTCTGAAATTTTAATTTTATCTGAGATTATCTCTGCTGGTCGTTCTGCTTCTGATGCGAGTGTAGAAGAAGGGTGATCGAGGATTTGTTCTTGTTATGTTGAAATTTTTGTTGAATTGGTCTTCGTCTTGATGCTGAAAAAATGAAAACTAATACTCCACCTCCACAGGTGCAGCCTGTTTGTGGTGGACCACGAGAAGCAGGAGCTGTGGACCCGCGCGGCAACCGGGGTCAAGGAGATCATCAAGGTTCCAGTGGACAAGTCGCTGGTCGGCACGGCCGTGCTCGAGGCCGACGTGGTCAACGTTCCCGATGTGTATCGCCACTCGAAATTCAACCGCGATCACGACGACAAGACGGGGTTCCGCACGCGCAACATCCTCTGCGTCCCCGTGTTCCAACACTCGCCGTCAACGTCGTCCTGTAGCGCGGTAGAAACTTCTTCTGAGGGCACCACGACAAGCAGCTCTAGTACTTCTTCTGCGACCACGGGAAAGAAGCCAGCTGTTGCTTTGTCGGACCCGTCGGAAAATGTCGTGGCGGTTGTGCAGTTGGTGAACTCCGAACGAAAATCCGGCTTTGCAGACGCGGAAGTGCGGGCCGCCAAAATGCTTGCGCGCCACGTCGGCATCTTTCTGGAGCAGGTGGAGTCCGCGCGTGGGGACTGAAGCGAGGACGTCGAGATGAGGGTGCTCTTTTTCATCTGCTTCTGGGCGTCAACATCTTTGAAAATTGAGAATTCTGACATCGGTGGTACTGGTTTTCGTGACGGAATCATGATAAACGTGTATAATGCAAGAAGGACAACATATAAAATCGGTGAACAGCTCGAGAAGATCACATTATTAGCAGCCAATACCGCTTAGCACAAATCACGTGCACGTGAAACTGAAATGTTGCATACCTTTTGTAGCAGGTTTGCGTTTGGTCTTGGTACAAACGCATCCTGAGTTTTTTTACAAATTACGAGAAGACCACCTGTTGCATAGATATGTAAAGAAATCGTGTGAAACAACCACGTTGTAAAATTTATTGGAAATGACAATGCAAGCATTGACTTTGACATTCATGAGATTCGTCCTACTCTTCTGGAAAATATCATTATCAGTATGATTTTCTTCAGTTGTGAGGCGACTCCAATGTGTAAAAATTTTTGATTCATAAAATATAGGATGGCTTCGCATAATTCATGCAAAGATTGAAGATGTGAGTATGGGGATGAAAGCTTGCCCGAGGAGGACAGAGGAATCATGTGCAATTCAACGGTTTCATCTTCGATAGCCACCTCACTATTACTCCTGGATGATCCGCAGGCACTTTTCATCGACCATGAGTCATGGTTGAGTCTTTTAGATGTGTTCTGAATGATGTCTAGTTTTCTTGGTATTGGTTGTATTGCATTTGCGTGTTTTCCGAGTGACGAATGAGCGATGCAAAGGAAAGGCCTCGTTTAGCAGTTCGCGGGCCAAAAACGCGATGGTTGTCGTAATTGATCCAGCCAAGAGTTGTTCTTGCTTTTCGTCCTCTTTGTCTGTTTCTTTTCTACAACTACGTTTGTTCCGCCATACGCGTATCTTCACCAAGGCGGTTGTATTGCGATCCTTTTTCACTGTTGTTTCCTTTCTGATAACAAGAAGAGAGCCTTTACCCGTCGTCGTTGTCGTGATGTATCCGTCCTGATTTCTTGTCTTGTGTGACTATCCGTGAAGATCCAACTGCATCGTCTGTTTTATCATTCTGTTGATTTTTTCCAGTTACTCGTGCATCGTGCTCGTCAAACCAGTATTTTATTCAAAAAAATCATAGCTGGAGCGAGGTGAATATCCTACCGTACCTACTGGTACTCCCATTTAGGTGTAGGTCTTCCAAGAGTACTCCCATTTAGGTGTAGGTCTTCCAAGAAGTCTACTAAGCGTTCCGGGTTCGTTTGTCGCGTTCTTCTGTTGTTTTTGGCTAAATCTTTCTGGTTTTTCTTTTTCTGTTTGGTCGCCAAAGGTTGTACTGTATTTGTATATTTCACTCGCGCCGTCGTGTTGGGACAGCACTCTTGCAGGACGAGTTGAACAAGTTGTTGTTCCTCTCGCTCCTTCCGTCTTGTCGCGCGTTCCAACTAAATTTTTTTTTGTTCGTCGGACACGGACTCAACCAGAACCTCGCGGCGCTGGTTGTATCCATTTCGCCCCACTTTCCCCGCCGTCGACGTCGAGACCAGAAACAAGAATGCCAGGCAAGAGAAGGCCGCGTCGGGGCAGCCCAGGACCAGACACGTGGTTGCGCATATCACAAAATTGCAGAATCTCGCAACGAGCTGCGGTCCACGTAGTGTCGCGTTGTGCGCACGAGGAGAAAAATTCTACGACTGTACAGGCGGTTTATTGTCGTCTTCCACTTTTTATTTTTTTTTTTATCTTTTATCTTTATTGCGTTTGCGGCTAACTTCCATCGCTGGCAGTCACAGTTCTTGAGCTTGATGCTTGCTGTAATTCAGCGCCCGGGCGCTGTGCCCTGCCCTCGTTGAGAAGAGGGAGAGAGAGACAGAGACAAATCATACACATTCATACAGGAGCAGCACTACGAACAACCGGCACCGGTTCCCAACATGAAGGAGGAGAAGCTGTTTCTTCCGCTACCCCTACCCGCCGACACACTGGAAATCGAGACTCCGTTAACATTACCAATCCCGCTCGATTACCGAAGAAGAGCAAAAGCGCTGGGTCATATTTGGACAAAGGCAAATACTACACACGGGCTCTTTTATAATTTGTGAAGTAGAGACAGAGACTGCCGGTTGAGCCTTCGGACAAGTTGTAGACCATCGTACCACAGACTCAGACATGTTGACTAAAAACGGTGCGTACTGTACTTATATATTCCTTTGGTTCTAATATGACACCAACGTGTTTGGGGTTGATACTGATCTCGACCGTTCTCCAATTTTTTTAACCGTGTCGTTGGGCGGACCACTGTACGACTCCACAGCAACCACGGCTACGAGTGGGGCCTGCTTCTACGCGGATAGCAGTACTCCTGGGTCGCCGCGCGGGGAGCAGTACTCCGGGGACTGACTCCAACAAGTGATCGACGGGGAGTGCTTCTAGAGCACACGAGGCTCCATCGAGATCAGCGGTCAGATGAAGAACAAGGAAACCGAAACTCTTTTACGAAATAGTACGCCTGTCTTTTGTCTAAACACACCCACACGGAAAAATGGCGAAACAATTCCGAGCAATTTTCTACTTGAATGAAAATGATTCCAACATAAATCTTTGTTCGGCGCTGCGGAGCCTGAAAGCTTCCATATTGCTGGGATGTTCGATGCATTGTGGTGCATGCTCTACACATTTTAGGCGCGACCGATCGTCTGCGCATTCGCAAGATGCACGCCGAAAGCGGAGCCCGTACGCCGCGCAACAAAATGCTCCTGCTATGTAAGTATAAGTAACTGGTATGGTTCTACAAGTCTCCTAGCTCCTACTAGAACTAGTAGTTATCGTGCCTGTTGTCGTTGTGTACATTTTATCGTATTTCATCGTCGTCGGAGGTGCAGTCTCAGTATCTTTGTAGTGCCGAAGAAGCTTGCTCCACATTGTATCTTGAAGAAGTACCCAGTATCCAAGGAGATCCGCTGCTTTTCTGAGATTATTTTTACGTTCCAACTGTGTGTGTAAAAGTGAAACAGAATGCAAATGTAAATTTTCCACCTTTTCGAGCATACACCGAAATCGAAGTTCGCAAAACGTCTTTCCAGTGTAGCTGCGGATTCTTCTTTATCCAGTGCTTGCCGTAGCCTTCGTGGACGGAGAAATGACACATGCTGCAGGAACATCGACGAGTAGGGCGGCCACGAGCTGTGTTTCCCAGCTCTACTGCACAGCGACCCCATTCGGGACGACACCGTTACCATGCACGAATGGCGTGGCTCCAGCTGTTGCCACCTTATGTTCCGGTGCCCGCCACAACATCATGATGAGACACACGACCACTACATCTACAAGAACACCCAGGCACTTGTCAACGTCACCAAATTGCCGCCCGACTACTACACCACGACGGATCTGTTTTCAGCCACTCTTCATCGTCGATCACTCGCGGCAACCACAAGAACGACCTCCGCCCCACGTCGCCCAGAGTCACCGCGGGTTTGGGAAATTGAGCGGAAGGTCAAAGAATTCGTCCATTTCCTCCAACGTGCACCAGTGGGTCCAGCGACAGATGGCGGACCGGTACGTGAAGCGTGCCCAAAACGAGAGCTACCGGATATGGCGTTCTCAACTGTTACATTCTCAACTCTTACATGGATTTGTGATGCAAGAATGGGAAAAGTGAAAGGGGGGAGATTGCGCCTGTAGCATTACAAATTCTGCACACATTTAGGTGCTATTTAGCCCTAGGCAAATTTGTCATGCGAAGCAGCCTGATCGCGTGAATGATGATGGTGCTTTTGCTTGACAAATTCATCATGTAACAGTTGAGAGTGTAACGTTTGAGAACCCCATACCTCACGCGCGCGGCCTACAAGCTGAAGCAGATCGACTCGCGGTTTGGCATCTTCCGGAAGGGCCAGAAGATCCTGGACCTGGGCTGCTACGCGGGGGGCTGGTCGCAGGTGGCGCTGGAGCGCACGGTGCTGGCGGACGACGCCGACGAAGAGGCGCGGAGGCACGCCCAGGTGATTGGCGTGGACTTATCGAAAGGAAAAATCCCCCCTCCCCATATCAAAACGGAATTTCTGATGCTGGATGTGTGTACACAAATCAGGTTTGTATTGCAGAGAGGCACTGCGGCCAGATCCCCAGGCTAGGCAGGGGCGTATGGGTCTAGTTCTTCAGCATGGCAAGCGGGCCACTTTTAGGGCCAACAGCATGACAAATCGCCTCCCTAATGGGGCGGAAGCTTCTACCCTTGTCTTATTGCAAGACAAATGCGATTTGTGGCCTCAAATCAGCAACACCCTCGTTATCACCTCCAGGGCTACGTGCGACCCCTCCGACGCTGCGTGTGGAAGGAGGAAGTTCGGCGTGTTGGGGGTGAGGGACCCCCAACGAGGCCTACGGATATCAGGTGGAATTAAGGCTCAAATCAGCAACACAAATTTTCGGAAACATTCCGTTTCGATATGGGGAGGGGGGATTTTTCCTTACGATAGGACTTGCTGCACATCGATCCCTTGGACGACCAGTATCCAAGGAAAAAAGTGTATACAATTTTTACACATTTGTAGCGAATTCAGCATCACAAATTTCAATTTGCCTCGCATGACGGAGAAAACTTGTGATGGAGAGATCATAAAGCAAAACACACACGAAACGACACTCGCAAACATTTTGCGCATGACAGAAGTCGTCTGTCTTGCTGGTCTTGCAACGCAATGTGTAACTGTGACACTTTTTTCTGTGCATAACCAGGGGCACGTCTTTATCCAGGGCGACGTCACGAAAGCGGACACGCTATGAATTGCAAAAGTATCGTACTCGTATAAATGCATTACAAATTTCCTCAGCATGAGAAATAAGATGAAGATCTGTGATGCTGATTTACCTTCAGGCTCAGAAAAAGATTTGTGATTCATGATTGCAAAACGAGTACGATACTTTTGCACAGGATACACGCTGGAGAAGATCCTGCGGGCCACCAACGGCGAGAAGGTGGACGTGGTGCTGTCCGACATGTGTCCCAGCCTCACCGGCGTGAAGCAGGACGACCACCTGGATTCCGCTATCCTGAGCAAAAACGTCCCCACCCCATAGTCAAGTTGGTAAATCTGCAACACAAATCGCCAAGCTTTGGGAGTTGTGCATGATAAGTTTCCGTCTGTAGTATAGTGGTGCTTAGCAAGGAGAGCCGCATAAGAAAGCCAGTTTCTCATCCTGTTTACAGCATTACAAATGCCAAATCACGATTGGAAATGCCTCTCATGGGGATGCGCATTACAAATGTTCCTGTCATTGCGCATTTGCATTACAACTCTGGGGTGGGGACGTTTTTACTTAGGATATCCGCGGAGCTCTGCCTCGCGGCGGGCGAAATGATGGAGCGCGTGCTGCGGCTATCGTATTTGAAAACGTCCCCACCCCATAGTTGCAATGCAAATCTGCATGCTGAAAATGTTTCTCATGCGGAGCCCCATGAGAAGCGTTTGCTATTCGTGTTTTGCAATTTGTCATGCTCCAATCCGCATGAGGCGCTAGATCTGTGATGCTGCTGAGCTAGCTCAAACAGCACTACACTACGAATCGCAATTTGTCATGCAAGACAGCCAAAACTTGTGGATTTGTCTAGCCGATTCCCCATCTTGACTATGGGGCGAGGACGTTTTTACATAGGATAGCGGCTGGACGGCAGCTTCGTGGTGAAAATGATGTACGGCCCGGAAACCACCAACTTCAAAATGTACCTGCGCTCGCGCTTCAAAACGGTGCACTCCTTCAAACCGCCCGCGAGCCGCGACGAGTCGCGGGAGATGTTCTTCGTCTGCAGCAAATTTGTCGGCCGGGAAAGCATTGCCGCGGCGGTGCAGACGCTGCCGGGATACCAACCGGACAAACTGAAATACAACTCGATGTACTAGCGCTGCGTCCAGGTACTGAAGATTGTCGCCTCGCGCTAGGATCAAGCTCCCTCGATTTCCGACAGATTTTGTCGGAGTAGCGCCGTCAGTTCCGACAAACTTTGTCGAACCACCTGCGGCAGATCTAACGATCAGTTGTATGTAATGAGGTCACCAAGACCAAACGGCTACGGCTCTAAACGTGGCAGCTCCTTTCATCTTGCCGTTATCCGGCAGAAACAGCCGGCCATTTCTATCTAAAGCCCATAGCGCGTTTTTCAACATGAAATAAAACATTATAGAAGCGCTCCAACGCTAACCTGATTGGGTTTGTCGTGAAACAGACCCCCCTGCATTCTATCGATTACAGCCTGCAAATAAAATGGCCTTTGCGGTAGATGTCATTTCGTTCGTCAGCATCCTTACCCTTCGTCCGAGGCACTGCAAATGTTAAATGTAGTCGTACAACTGACCGGCAGCTGAGAACCCTCTGACCTTCACTCGTGACTTTGTGAACTTCGTTCATTGGTGGAAACGAAAATTATTATACCGTATGAGGACTCCGACTCTCCCTCTCGTACTGCTCGTTTAGAAATTCCCGTCTTCCTCGTATTAATCGCAATCGTATGGATCTGTCTGCTCTGGAAGAAAATCTCCACGCACGTAGAGCAATTCGTAATCGTCAGCATCCGGCTGGTAAGTGAGTTTTGTCCCTGACAAATACTATGATGAAGCACGTTCTTGGGTTGGAGTTGGACTCAAAAAGCCTAGGGATCTTCATCGTGCCACTTCGTCCCGCCTCGATATTTGATTATCGTGCATTTCGTCGAACGAGGCGGAACTGCAACTGGTAGACTGCGTTGCAAGCGGATGTAAGCTTCCTCCTTGCTCCTGGTAAAATTCACTTCGTTGGCTTGTGGCACCATCTGGAATTTCCGTGTAATCTTTAACTGACTAGAACAGTTCTTCCCCGTTTTTTGAACACTACTTCGCTGTCGCTTCGGACATAAAAACTTGCTTTCTCCTCGCGAGTAGTCCGCTAGACAGCTTCAAACTGTCGCGCAAGTACACGTCAAATCATGCCGAAAAGTAAGTTGCTGGCCATCGCCGCCACGACCTGCCTCCTCGGGGGGGGGGGGGGGCGTGTTGTGGCGCTGCAGAAGAAGCCCACCGGCACGCACGTGTGGGAAGGGAATGAAGTCACTGGCAAGGCCACGCAGGAGGCGAACAAGTGGTCGCGGGCTCGCGCGAAGGCGGGCACTCCTGCGCAGAAGGTGGCGAAATCAACGTCGCTGATGCAGGTGGACAAGAACAAGAAGATCCGGAAGACGCAGACGCAGGTGGACCAGATGAGCACCGGTATTGACGTTCATCTGATTTCTGTTTGAATGCAAGAGTAAAAGTATTCGTACAGAACAACTTTACTCGGACCATCGTAGTACGCATCTCGTTGTAGCGCAATAGCATCGTACGCACAAAACCTAGAAGCAAGCAACTACATGATGAGAACGCAAACACGATGAAGGAAAGAAGAAGACCGATGCTGCATTCCTGATGGATTTTCGTTTGCACGATGACAGATTAACCCAATATACGCGCAGTGCTGGAATTTTCAATTGGTAACACCCCGCTACGTTTGAGGATCGTAACCTCTTGAAAGTTTCCAAAATTGTTGCTCACGACTATCACAGGAAACTTCACACAAAAAGAAGACCCGGGTCAAGATATGAAAACGAAATCCTTGTCCGCTCCCCCGTTGGATAACTAAGGAAGTACCCCCCCGGAGGACTATCCCCTGGCAGGCCGTACTACCGCGACCGATGAAGTAGCATCTATGAGCTTGCCGCTCAGCACCACCCTCGTCTGGATGGCTCGGATTGACTCGGTACGGACACACGCCGTGCCAGCTGGATTTGTGGTTCTTTTGAAGTGATATGTTGGACATTTGGAAATGCCATGCACTCGGATCGAACAATCGCTCGGAAAGCTAAACAAAATTGCCCGAATGGTGTTTGTCATGCACGGCGAAAAATCTGAAAACGAACCTAACGACTTGCAGAGCATAGTACGCAAAAGCCTCGCGGGGTTTGTATTTGTAAACACAAAGAAACGCGGAAAACATTTTTCTCATGCTGAAAACAGACGGTATCCGCAGACACTCAGAATTTGCTATGCTGCAACTGCAAAAACTAGCTATCATTTATCTCCGTGTACCTCTACTCTCGACCAAGTCCGACGATAGTGCGCTTTGCAATGTCCTGCGTATTATTTTTACAAAATCGCAAACACCAATGGCGTTGGCGTGTTGCTGTTCGTTGTGTGTCTACCCGGGGTCGATCGGGCTCACCCAGACGATGCCGATGCGGGTTCCGAGCCAGTTCATGGAGGTTATTTCTCCCCGCCCCCGCGCCCGCCTGTCGCGGCTTATCCACCGGGGCGGCGGATGAGGATTTCATTGTTACCACATTAACTACCCCGGGAAAGGGCGCGCAAGACCAACAAGTAGACAAAAAACATGACCGTGGACCACCTTGGGAGGTGCTTGCCATGTTCGCCCCCATGGCGACGGTCGCGGCGGGCGAAATCAAGGCCTTGTTGCACATCCTTTCCAGAAGCCCCGCTCAGGACCCGGGGCAGGGGGACGGATCGGACGTATCGACGGACCGTGACCTCGAGGAGCAAACGGTCGAGGAAGAAGCGGCCGACCTGAACGCGGCCCCCAGTTTGCGTTTGCCCTGGTCCGAGGTGGAATTCCCTGTCCCGGCGTTCGAGCCAGTCGTGCCGGCGTGATCCACTTCGCACCAACACGACGTGGCGAGGACCACCGGAGGAGAAGGGGTTGCCTCGTGCTTCGTCGGAGGTGCTTAAGGACTAGGAGTTACAATTTTTACGCTTTTTCTGAGAAGTATATTACTGTCACAACCGCACGCCACGCTTTGAAATTTTGTTGATCTCGACTTGCAACGTGTGTGCCTTACATTTTATTTTTACAACTTTTTTGCTGCCTGTTCCTTGTTCATGTTCATCAAAAGCTAAATCCGTTTTCATACACAAAATGTTCCACGCTCGATTTAACAAAATGCCACAACTTGAAAAAAATAGTCGATTAACTTTTTTCCCGCAAGGGTTTTTCTCGTTTCGCCTACTTAGCATAACAGTCAAAAGCATAAGCGCACTTTTATCGTTTCTCGTTGTTGTTTAATTGCGTGCATGTTCGTAATTTCAGTTTCTCTTTCTTCCTTTCAAGTTCCGCGCGTTCTACTGCGACAGCCAGCTTGTTCTACCAAGGTAAGTAATATCATCATAACGCCAAGGCCTGCGATCTCATTACATATAGATACGCCACTACTTAAACTTACGCACGTCCCGTATCATCTCACTACCGCTTACAACATGCTTGATAGTCCCAATTTCCAATCTCCACAAAAGACATAGAAGCGTCCCCAATTTTTGCGTCTACAGTAGCAGTGACACGGTCGAGCTTAGCAGTTCGTTGTAGAGTGGGTCATGTTCTTCCTTTAGAACATTGCCTACCTCTCGATTGGAAAGTAAGCTGTGTCACAAGAGCCCGCAGAATTCACATCTCGGCTTTTTTTTCTACGCGCTTTCATCCTCGCTCACCGCAAGTACACGGAGAAAACTCTCTTCGAGCAGCTGTAATTTAGAAAAAGGCTGAGGAAGCCAAGCTCAAGCTACGCATGAACGCGAGGTCGTGGCGGTTTCCAGAAACTGCCGCGTGTTGAACAAGTTATCAAACAAGTCCATGACTTTGATAGCCACTATTTTAGCGGTGCGCACTATAAGGCACGACAGCCACTGAAGATGGGAAGAGCCAGCCGCCTCACCGGTTGCGCCTTTCTTGGTACAACGCCCCCCGTGCACCACCTCTGAGCTTTTTGAGCATTCGCTACCTCTCATCTGTTTCAGTATCCATTCAAATAGCATATAACAAGAACAAGTACACAAAAAAAATGCACACTAGCTAGAAAAACTATAAGAAATAAATACATATTACAAAAACGCAAAAAAATACATGTTACAAAAGCGCAAAAAAAACGCACTACACAAACGCACTGGAGAAACACCAATTGCAGCAGCCAACTTCCAGCCATGCACTAAACAAATTGCGTGCCTATTTGCGATATTTTCACAGTTCCACACTCCACTATGTGGTTCTGTGGAGAAGTCACTACCCGACGAGATGGTCAACACATACGAACGCTTTTATCCGTAACCCAGGTGATTCTTTTGCTCCGGCGGAGATAACAACTGTAGACGAGCTGCAGTACTAAGAGTTGGCACAGCACCACCAGTTAGTGCTCTGAGTTTCAGAAGTTGTACAAAGCTTATGTATTGCGTCTCATTCTTGTTGTCAAACTCTAAGTCCAAGGACCGCTAGTGCTATTAACTTACTACGAGCTGCTGGCGCACCTAAACACTTCGCCAGTAGAAGGTAGTAGCTGTACCGAGACGCGGGCACACACACAGAGGAGCTTGTCCGGTGCAGGAGAACTGCGAAGATACTTCTTCCGTTTTTCCCACAGGATAGAGCTGGCACCTGCTTCGTATTTCGTGCATTATTTTTTAGTAGTCATCGAGATGAAGCGGATACTAGTACTACAACCTGTGAAGTTTGCTCAACAACTTCAACTTCTTTCTACTCCTCTCGACGGGGCTTTCGATTTTACAGAAGACACATACATAAGCGATTTGACTGCCACTGCAAGCCACGGGGCGGAGGAGAAAAAAAACTGTAGTAAACAGCACCACACCTCCTATGTTGGCGAGGGGTCCAGCACCTCACTTGATAAAAACGGCTAAGCTGCCACGGACGGAGCATTTTTTTTGCTTAGCAGCTCGTACTATCCTTTCTTATCTTCTCCCCATGTAGATGGCATCTACGCAACAGCATCGGATGAATGAATCTTCGCCAAACTGCATTAAGCTACCCGAACAACGTCAAATGAAAAAAAAGTATAGCCTACATTTCTTCAAGTACCCGGCACATTTCTTCAAGTAGGTTGGCCGGACAGGCGCCGAAAAAAGGGCGCGCTGTGTATCTCTTCTGTACTACTTGTATGACTCGAAAAACGTCGTGTTCAGCTCTGGGTTTCGAGTCGGAGAAGGTTTTGCAGGGCCGGTCTTTCTTTGAAGGTAAAAATCCACGGACGATGATTGTACTAGTTTTCATTGTTCACCAGCAGCTACGGTAAGGACAAGGAGCACCAGCAAATCGTTGCAAGGGACGAGAGAAAGCGCTGGCGCTTTTGCTAGCGAAATTATAACTATTCTTCATCTACTTTTCGCTCGTCACAGTTTGAGTTTTCTTCTTGAGGTCGAGAGAGTCGAGGAGGAAAGCCAAAGCTACTTTCTTCAGTCTACCAGTATCTCTTTGGCTTTGCTATCCGTGACGGGCGAGGAAAAGAACCTGGACCTGGCTGCTTCATCGATGGACAGTGAGCCTGCGTCTCTTTCCGCCGGAGACCACCTGACCAAGCTGAAACAGTAGAATTCGATGTAGTACAAGTACGACCAGCACGAGAACACGCAGACAAATCCCGTGGCTTCGTTTCGCATTCGGCTAGTGCTGGCTACCTGAAGCTGTAGGAGTGTGCGACTTGTTCCTCGTAGCGAGGCTGGATATAATTGGAATCAAGATACTAGAAGAAGCCAACCGGACAAACTGAAATACAACTCGATGTACTAGCGCTAGTCGGACCAAGTGATTTTCATCGCCTCGCGCTAGAATGATCAAGCTCCCTTGGCTTCCGACAGATTTTGTCGGAGTAGCACCGTCAATTCCGATACATTTTGTCGGACCTGCGGCAGTGCCAACAAACAGTTGTAGCTGTTCCTGTTCAAAACAATATATATTTATATTCTTGACATGAAGATGAAGCCTTGATGCCCCTGGCGCTGCAACTTGTTGTCGGCAATCTTGACGGCAGATTTGATTGTGTGGCGACAACCACATGGTAAAAAAGTACACCTGACAACATGAGGTATTCATAGTACCTCTGCTGTTTTCCTCAATGCGTCAGGAGAGGTGGATCTTGGATACTGATCTGGACCTCCGACATGTAGTTGTGTCGAAATAATAGAAGAGTGACCTCAACAAGAGGACGGAGCAATTGATGTTCGTTTTTGTCTCGCTGCTCGTGAGTGAATTAAAGTATCTTTTCCAATTGTCATAATCTCGAAGCAATGCATTGCAGTTTGAACTTCGTCGAAAAGCACCAGAAGGGCAACGCAAGAGATACGTACAGCTACGTGTTAGTAGTTCGTGATAGACCACGCATCGTCCTAGGCGTCATCTCCCATGGTATTATAAATCGCGTTTAAATTTCTTGTTTCAAAGTAAAATAAAACTACAACTTGTTCTCACTATCGCATCGATGTTCAATATTCCAAACACCTATGTCAAAAAGAAGTCGTTTGGCTTTTTTTGGGGAGAAAAAAAAGAAAAACTGAGGCACATGTTGTGTGTGCTAAATCGCGCAAATTATTGAAGACAAAAGCGTGAATACCGATACTTATCCAGATTTGAAAAATGTCGAACAGTCACAGAGAGGTCATCTGGGCGGAGAACGGTGCGGAAGCGGTATTAACATGATTCGCCATGGTTTGTCTTGTTGTAGCTGAAGTTCTTGTCCGGGTTCTCCCTTTCAATTTCATGGTCTTTTCCTTCTGTAGTTATGACTTATGAGGAGCTCCTGAGGCTGCTAAGCGTAGTGAAAAAATATCAAGCAGTTTTGTTCTTGTTTTTTTCTGTTTATCAACAAATAAGGAACTGGAACTTCCAAAACAGCACCAAGTGCCGCCACCGCCGGCGGTGCACCAGATGGTACCAGCGGCTCCGCAGGTGTTGATGCCGCCCCCGGGCGTTGCGGGCCCGACGAGCCACCATCACCAGGTACTGATGCACCACCCGCAGCTGGTGTACACGACTGCTGCCGCGACGCACCATCAACCGTTGTACCATGAGAGTCAGTATCTGGCCTTGGACCCGAATCTGTTCGGGACCTCCGCGCACCACCTCTTCGCCGGCGCGGCGGGTGGTCCGCAGTACCTGGCTGTCGCGCCGATGCCGCCGCACCCGCAGGCAGGAGCGGCTGTGCACCAACCGGCGCACCCCTTCTCGGGCACGACCACGTCGCACAGCTCCAAAGGAACCGCGGAAAACTATGGAATTCTCAAATGTTACATTCTCAACTGTTACATGAATTTGCAATGCAAGAGTGGCAAAATTGAAAAAAAAAAAAAAAGATTGCGCCTTTTGCATTACAGGTTTATTGGCGTAGATTCTCATGCTATCTAGCAAGTCGCGAACTTGTCATGCGAAGCAGCTTGGTCGTGTCGATATTCATGGCTAATTTGCATGACAAATCCATGTAATAGTTGAGAATGTAACGTCTGAGAACGCCATAAACACTCGTCCCGCGTCCCCGTTCCGCCCCCGGCGCCCGTGATGGTGCATCCGCAGCCGACGACCTCTCCGGTGGTGATCGTGGATCCGAACCACGGCCCGTGGATGGATCCGATGGCCAGTTGGTATCACGGTGAGCAGTGGACGCAGCGCGGTACCGCGAGCACTGGATACACGCCCCCCGGGAGCAAAGCCCCCGCGGCGGGACCACCGCATCATGCCTGGGGCGGCGCGCCGGCGGGCGGCTACGACTCGTACTACGGCTACAGTTACGGCGGGTACGGTAGTAGTTCCTATCATGGGCCGCCGGGGTCAACCTCGCGTAACGGCAGCAAAGAAAAGTCCGACCACTACCGCGGCATGATGAAGCACGGTTCGTTCTATGACCAGTCCGGAGCTCCTGCAGCGGCTTCCAGCCACCACGACCTGTCCAAGGCCACCACCAACAATGGAAATGGCGTGCGCCCAGTGGTGCGGAACACCTGGCGGTTCAAGTACCGCGGTACCCGCGAGAGCCGGGACGCCACGACCGCTGGTCCGGGGGCAGCAACTCCAGCGGCCGGCGTGGCAGCTGCGTCTTCCTCCAAATCCTCCGAGGACCAAAAGTTGCAGCAGTACGCGAACAGCCAGCAGAAGCAGACCCGCCGCCAGATGAAGCAGACCCGCCCGAACCAGGGTGCTGTCGCCGCGCAAAACAAAACCGCGCAGCCGGGGAACGGCTCCAAGCCGGTACAAAAAGAATTTCTTTTATATCTGTTGCTTCTAAATCCAAACAAGGTGAAGTTGAAGATCAAGATTCTGTTTTTTTTTACGTCCAAACTGGTTGGATGTATTCCAATATCTTTTTCAAAAGAACAATAGAGTGTGAACGCTGCTGCTGTTCGCGTTTGCTCAAAACGTGGAGCAGCGTCGCGCGTGAGCGATCTCCGGCTCTACTGCAGCATAAAAACAGCTAAACTTGATGTTATCTCTGCTAGTTTCCCTCAACCTCATCAAGAACTCCCAATTATACCAAAAATCCGCAATCCATTCCATACCAGGGTTCGAAACGGGCCAGCAAGGATTCGAAGGAGCTGCAAGAGACTGGCACCAACAACAAGGGATCCAAGAGTTCGGTGGAAAGCCAACCGAGCAGCTCCAGTGCGGACGAAGCGGCGAGCGAGAAGTATCCTGTGCAACAGTCTCGTACTCGTATAAATGCACTACAAATTTCCTCAGCATGAGAAATAAAATTTGTACTGCGTATTTGACTTAACAAAAACAAAAAGATTTGTATATGCATGATTGCAATACGAGTGCGATACTTTTGCACAGGATAAGAAGCCGGCGTCGGCAAGTGCGGAGGAAGCGTCTTCGGGCGAGGGACCGCCCTCGAACAAGACGAAGCCGGCGTCCACCGCGTTTCTGGAGGCCGCGACCACCACGGCCGAGGAGGACGAGGACGCGGCCCCGGTGCTGTCGCCGAAATCGCGTCGGGCGAAGCGGTATCCTGCGCAAAAGTATCGTACTCGTACTAATTGCATTTATGCATTAGGCCCCAAGTGTAACGTTAAGGCCCCAAGTGTAACGTTACAGCGCGAATAGAAAGACAAAGAAGCGAAAAGCGACAAGCTTAACCTTTTACGTGTGGAGCGTGTTCACCTCTTGTATAATTACAAATACTAGCTCCTAAGGCAACTCCGCATTACAAATTAAATTTGAAAAAATGCTGAGCCAACTTGTATTGCAATTTATCCTAGTACGTTAGTACTTTTGTAATTCATAAGCGGATGGCGTCCTTCGTGCGCAAGCCGTTGAAGGACGTGGCCGCCTACAAGAAGTTCTCCAGCCTGTTCGGCGGGTCGGTCATGTCTTCCAAGCAATCCGTCATTCCGGAGGAAACCGCGGCGGACATCCTCAGTCCGCCCGCGCGGGCGGCCGAGGTCGCCGCGGGTGCCGTGCCTGCCACCACGTCGAGCGTTTCTGCAGAGGAAGAGGAGAAGAAGGAACAAGTCGAAGATGCGGGCGAAGGACCCGAAGGCGAAGCGGCCGAGGCGGGCGTCGCCGCGGCCGGGCATGAAGATGTTGAAGCGAGCAAGGTGGAGGAAGAAGCCAGTTGTGCGGAACAAGCGACCTCGTCTGCGGAAAAGGCAAAAACCCCCACACTGGAGGCATTCATCGAGAAGGTCGAGAAGGAGGGGGAAGTGGTGGAAGAAGTTGTTACGGTGCAGTAACAAGTCTGCGGAAAAATGGAGGGTTAGTTTATTCAACAAATTATCAGGCACAGGAGCAAAAGTTGCCTCGTTTCTTGCTTACAACTACCATTATACAAGAGAGCAGTCTTACCTTGAGAAAAAACTTCAAGACGAATCAATTATACGCACCAGGGCTAATTGTGCTAAAAATGTGTTACCCACAATTATGTAGACGACCGAGCTAGAAGGAGATAAAAAGAGCAGAAACACAAATCCCTGGAGCAGCAGTTACAACTTCACCTTCAACTTTCTTCATCCATTTTGATTCAAAAAAAAAATAAGGCCCTATCGACATCGACAAGTAAAAAACAAAAAGCTGAATTTTCGACTTCAAGAGTAAATCCCGAACAAGTACCAGCTGCTCTCATCATCTTCCACCAGAGAAACAATGCCGTAATGCAGAAGTTGCAGATTGTCCAGCATCACCGGAGTAGTTTACAACTTGAGATGCATTCTAGGCCTAGGGTCGTTGTGGCCCAGTGATACAGCCTCACAGCGTTTCCTTCATTGTTTCATCTTGGCTTGTTGTAGATACAGTTTAATACTCACGCTCAGACAGTGACAAATGCGGTGGCTAGAAGTAGAAAAGCTCTACAACCTTCTTGGCTTTCTATTTTGCTAGTATGATCGCAAAGTCGAGCAGAGAAAACAAAAAATTTATTCAAAACTCATTTAGATTGACACCCTTGACTTTGTTTCGAAAAAATTTGATTCCAAGCTGATAAGTATTTTCTACCCAACTTCATCTAAGGTTCAATCCCCCTCTAGCTGAAAAGCCAGAAAATCGCCAATGTACAAACGATTCTTCTATACGATATTTTGCTTGGAAAATGTCTCTGTTGTGAATAAGTTAGTACCCTTTCAAATCAGCTCACAGTACCCCAACGAGAAGGCGTTTGAAGAAGGTACCCTACCCCTGCAGAGAGCATTCGGCTCAGACAGATCAACCAAGATCCTCGATATTATAACAGTTGTCAGAAGCGACACCGAAGAATCGTCGTCGTCCACGCGCGAAAACATAGAAATAGCTCTAAGTAATATAGCGCAAAAGGAGTCGTCCCCCGGACCACGAAAATAAGAATATTGTTATACGAACCTACCCGATAAAGATAAAGATTCTGATTCTTCCTGTTGATGTCACAGAACCACGGCGTGGTGCTGCGACTACGACTTTTGTCTGCCCTGCTGCTCGACGAGAGCATCACGGCAATCGAATGACGTAAATTTATTTCTCTGATTTCCCACCTCCTTACAGTACAACAATACCCTTCAATATTACCTTTTAACATTCGTAGGCATCGATCGTGGCAGGTACGAAGGTTGCCTGCTGTACGTACACTTATAGATCACCAAGAGGACGAGCGACAGCGAGCTGAAGCACGATCAGTAGTTGTGGAGAAAGAGGAGCGAGCTTATGGGCCGCAGCACTCAAGAACACCTGTGGTGCCGAAACTGCCTGAACCTTAAAGTTGCCGCTGACCACCTGCTTCCCAGCAGCACTCAGTTGGTTTCGATATTGATGAACAAGAGGTCAGGATGAATCGTGTCCATTTCTCCTATTACTCCATAGATGGCTCATCTTCGAGCTTGTCCAAGGATGAAGCACCACGAATGATTACCCCCAGGCCCAGATCCTTGTTGAAATAAGACTCGTCACCGATAACAATTGATCTTCGCAAAAAACAGCGCACAAGGCGCCGTGCTGGTGAAATCGAATTATTATGTTCGAGCTTTTATTCATCTTTTTTCGCTTGTTGTTGGTGTTCTGCCGTGTTGGTCGAGAAGAGCAGATGGCGAGATAATTGATATCGATAGAGCAGTTTCTTCAAATAATTTCTTCTTGTTGACTGACCGTAGGGACCTTGTTGACTGACCGTAATTTCTTCCCGCAGAGAACGACTGACCGTGAGACCTGTACAAACGCTGCCATAGTCGACTTTGTCGGCTGGCTAGCGGCTTATCTGCCCTATGTTGTTTTCTCGGACCAGCGCCTATCGCTGATCGTCTTTTACGCATTTCGCGTATTAATCTATATTGATATTCTTATTTCTGCGTGATCTGTATGTAAATGGAAATGCATCACAAACGCGGCTTTTCGCCCCCACCGGATCCGACTGTCGACGTTCTCCGAGTGCGCGATGATTTGACGATTGAGGTCGACTCAGATCACGACTATTCTCGATATTCACATCAGTATGAGTAAAGGCTCCTGCCTTATGCAGATGTTCTCGCCGTTTAGTATGCAGCCCGCTGAACCGCATCTTCAGCGGACATGTTTCAACTTTGTATTTCCTTTGTATCCTCGGCCGGTAGCGAACCGCATCTTCGCGAAAGCCGTGCATCTGCCACTAGCTGTAGGTGAGACCGCATCTCTCACACCCCGCGTTGTTCTTGGGCCGTAGTGTCATACGAGACTCGAAAAGCTTCGCCCGCTCGGCGTGACAACGCAAACTTGCGCTAGAATGGGTAGTAGGCGTAGGGGAGGAGGTGCGTGAGTAAGCAAGGAAGGCGGGAAGTCCCTTGTGGGGGGCAGACCGCCCGGAACCCGTCCTGCAGGGACACGCAGCCGCTCGCGCGAACTTTTGTCGCAGAGGCGCAGTGGACTCAGTAGGGAGCACACGCGAAGCCTTCGTAAGGGTATGGCGCCGCAGTGTCCCGCTCGCGGGGAAGATTGCCGCAAGCCCCTTCCGGGTTTGCGCGCTTCTCTCCCTGCGTACGTATTGAGGATCCGACTTATTTTCCCCGCGCACACGTCAGAAGTACCCAGACAGAAGAAGGCGCTTCTTCAGCAATTAAGAAACTAAAAGCGCTGTCTCCTGCTGCCATGAAGAAACCTGTTAGCCCTCTATTGCGCAATACCTCGCGCAGGATAGACGATGGTGGTGATGATGATGATTATGATGATAAGACGATGATAAAAAAACAAACGATCGATCAGAAAAGAAGACACTCAGCCAAGAGCAGGCAAGGCCCAGGATCATGAAACGATAAGCAAAAAGCCACGCCGGGCACGTATGCCACAGGCGGGGGCGCGGGCAGGTTCCTGCGTCCTTGCGCTCGTGAATCCGTATAGGCTTGGCTTTGGGTCATACAATCGCCCCACCCTCTCCCATCCACATTCCACCTCCGAACAGCGACGCGCCTAGTTTTTGCTTTTCTTTTTTCCACTGCAATCGTTTACATTTAGAGAGCGCCTAGCTTTTACCCATTGCTATAAGTATTAAGCTCCATCGTTGTGTTGGCGCCGTCGATCTTTTTCCTCTCTATCATTGTTGTTCCATCTCCCACTGCAAGTGCAGCTTCGCAGCTAGTAGTAGAAGCTTGTGAGACACTCTCCACTCTGCAACCAATGTCGAAGCCGGATTTCCCCAATCATCCGGATGAAAAGGGGCGAAAGGTGGATTTAATTCGGGGCGCCATGTACCACCGGCGCACGGGTTCGGAGAGAGAGGGACGCGCCGACGGCGCAAACCGTGCGGAATACATCTGGGTCGGGGACTCGAAGGCCGCCAGCGGCCACGTCGTTTGCTGGTTCTTCACGTCGCAGAAACCAAAGGGACAAAAGGAGACCGCCAGCGCTATGCTTGCGGGCGAAGATTGGTGGCTGATTTCATGGCGCCCGGGGAAGTACATCCTGGACTTGGACTACCGAGCATCGGAGAACTTTATAGACGTGGCGGATCGCGCTCTCCGCGAGTTGCGCCCTGACGTGACTCTGCGCCCGAACTATTTCAGAAATATGAATATTTAGATGACAGGACTTGGCGCTGAGCTAGAGGCTGTAGATGAGAGCGAGCTCTTGGGAAGTCGCCGCGGCAGCGTGGTCGCTCGGTGTTGTAAATATTGTCCAAGACCCAAACGAACCCCAACGCTGATTCTCGATCGCAGTACATTTTGCAAGCGGCACGCTAGCAGCTAGGTGCGCGTGGCCCTGCCTCTTGCGCACGTTGAGGGAACGCCGCGCGCATCGAGAGAGTGAATGTTGTCCCCTGTTGCTGGAGCTCGAGCGTGTGTTGCGCTACTGTTGTGGCTGTGGTGCTATTAGATAGAACGAAGTGGACGCGTTGGCGTCTGTAGCCAATGTTGACTCCTATGTAGGAGGCTGCTTCTGGATGGGTTGAAACGTGGCGCCCCGATCGGTCTACTTTCGTCTTCCACTCGGCTTTTTCTTTGCGTTAGGGCGTTGGCACGCGCCGCCTGTCGGTCCCTCGATCGTCGTCTGTGCGAAAAAAACCATGCGGGCCGCGTTTGCAAATCTGAAAAACAAAAATGAAGCACGGCCCCCGCCCCACTTTTGAGAAAATGGCGCGCGCAGGTTGGTCTTCGCCGCCATCTTCTCGGATGTGAATCAATGATGGCGATGATGATGATGATGATGATGGAAGAGTCGCCACAGTCTCATGAATGATGACGATGGTGATGATTAGTATCTCCGCTCCACGTACACGATGGCGATTATGATGTTGATGAAGTGCGGGGGGCCCTCGCCCCCCCCCC